AGGGGTACATGTGCATGCCTTCTTTCTACCTGTCTTAGACCAGGCTGTCTGATGGCAACAATACAGAGTGGGGGGAAAAGGGAACTATGGGGAGAACAGAGGACATCTAAACTACGTTAACATAACTATACATTAATAAAGCTTCTCTTAATTTTCACACAATATTAATCTCTTAATTGCGAGAGCCAATCATGTCATTATCCATAACAATTAGTTATGGCTTTAGTTTGTCTACTGGTCCAGCAGTAAGCAGAGAATTGTGCTAGGTTATATGAACATTCTGTATCAGATTAAAAATTGTAATAATAGTTTTTAAAGTAGGTACAAGGGTAGAAACATAATTTTTAAAACTTAGGCTTTGATGACTTAGTTGAGTGACATATGGAGTATGATGTCAACAGGCAAATTTTTTCTGTGTCAGAAGACACATGAAACATACCATAAACAAACCCAAAGAAGGTTTTTTTTTTTTTTTTTTTTTTTTTTGTTAGTGAATTTTGCCTTTTTTGTGGTCCAAAATGAAATACTAGTCTAGATTTAAGATTTTTGCCTGTAAACCCTCACAAACAGTTACTTTCAGAAATCAAGCAACAGAAAGTATAGATTTTTGGAGAAAACTAGATTTCAGAAGAAAAGCAGCTTAATGATATGTCTGAAACTACATTAGAAGTTCTATTTTTTGTTTCACTCAGCTGACACTTGAGAAGTGTCTAAACAGACACAATTTCAAAGAGACCTAAGCAAAAGGTGATTTGCTTGTCAAGCATTGAAATGGGCTGCCCAAGGAAGTGGCTGAGTCACTGTCCCTGGTAGTGTTTAAAATATGTGTAGGTGTGGTGCTTAGGGACATTGTTTAGTGGTGAATTTGGCAGTGTTAAGTTCGTGATTGGTCTCAAGGCTACCTACACAATTCTGTGATTTGACTATCTTAAAGCTTCTTCATAGAGTTCAAGGGGGTAGGTTAAACCATAGGTGGCTTAAGACTTACTAGTGAAATGAAGTACTTATTCCTTTTGTGTTCCATGTTACCTTAGTCTAAGTAACTGAAATAGCTTTTTCTGTTGTCCACTTGATGCATGAGGGGCAAGATTTACAGCATTTGTGAAAAGTGTTAATCCTGTCTTAATTATTTCTGATTTTCTAATGAATCATTTATTTTCTATTGAATCTTCTTTTGAAGAAAGGATGAGGTAAAGACTGAGATAGTTTGTTTGGTTAATTTCACTACAGATGTTGTCTGTGTGTTGAGATTCTGAAACTAGTTCTTTCTGCTGAATGGTGTAATACATGTCAATTTGACTTATATGTTAATAAGCTTCAGTGTATATCTAGACATATTAAATAAGCATAATTCAAAAGGTGATGGTTTTAAATTTGAAATAAAGGTGATTTTGTTGACAGCAGTGATGAAAACTCAAAGGTTCATAGGTGATTTTATGAATATATTAACAAAAAGAGGACCAAGGAAAATCTATCCTTTATTGGATGTGAAGGGTAATATTGTAACAAAGGATGAGGAAATCTGAGCTGCCTTTTCTGCCTCAGTCTACAACAGAAAGACCAGTTATCCTCATGGTAACCAGCCCTTGGAGCTGGTAGTGAGAGATGGGGAGCAGAACTGATGCCCTATAATCTAGAAAAATGTAGTCAGTAATCCATTGAGCCACTTAGACAGTCACAAGTGTATGGGGCTGGATGGAACCCACTAGAGTGTACTGGGGGAGCTGGCAAACGAGCTTGCCAAGTCGTTCTCTATCATTATTGTTAGTCCTGATAAACTGGGAAGGTTCCAGACAACTGGAGGTTAGCCACTGTGGTACATGTATGAGGTTCAGGAAGGCAAAGTGCCAGGTCATGCACAACAGCCCCATGCAACTTTGCAGGCTGGAAGAAGAGTGGCTTGAAAGTGGCTCATCAAAATAGGACTTCAGAGTGCAGGTCAACAGCTGATTGAATATGAGCCAGTGGTGTGCCCAGGTGGACAAGAAGACCAATGGCATCCTGGCCTCTATTGAAAATAGCATGGCCAGCAGGACTAGGGAAGTGATTGTTGCTCTGTACTTGGCACTGTTAAGGCCACACCTTGAGTTTTGTGTCCAGTTTGGGCCCCTCTCTTTAAGAAAGATATTGAGATGTCGAGTGTGTCCAGAGAAGGGCAATAAAACTGGTGAAAGGTCTGGAGCACAAGTCTGATGACAAGTGGCTGAGGGAGATGGGGTCATTCAGCCTGAAGAAAAGGAAGCTCTGGAGGTACCTTATCACTCTATAATTACCTGGAAGGAGTTGTCGTAGGGTAGGAGTTGGCCTCTTCTCCCAGGCAATTGGCAATATGGCTAGAGGAAATGGACTCAAACTGCATCAGGGGAGGCTCAGGTTGGACATGACGAATAATTTTTTTACTGAAAAGGTGGTTAAACATTGGAATGGACTGCCCAGGGAGGTGGTAGAGCCACCATCCTTGGGGGTGTTCAAGAAATGACTGCATGTCGCACTTAGTGCTATATTAAGTTGGCATGGTAGTGTTCAGTCAAAGTTTGGACCTTATGTTAGGGCTCTTTTCCAACCTTAATGCTTTTATGATTCTATGGTCCTAATGATTTTATGATAATTGTAGAAGTAGTCAACAAACTGCAGATGACAGAGTACTTGTCAGTTTGCTTATTTGGTCACTTTTTCAGTGTTGATTCTCTTTCAAGTCAAGCTAAAATAATATTTGACATGATCAGCATTACCTATCAAATTGCAAACATACACAAATACAAAAAGAGAACTGTGTTAGAGAAACAGGAGTTTATTGCAGTCTGTCACTACCAGACTATTTTGAAGACTATCATCATAAAGCTTTAAAATAGGCAGAATATTGGTTGTAAGCACTGAAATAGGTTTCCTGTTATTCAGTTCCTAAGTTCTGCATTTTCCCATTTGAAGCCTATTAGGTGCGTTTAACAAGACATGTTTGTTAGAGATACTGTGCTGTTTTTTGTAATGGAGTAAAACCAAGTAACTCTGTTCAGAAATAGAAATATATAAAGGACAACTTCACAATTCTCCTACCTACAGTTTAAAATACTGTGTAGTGCTGATATACTGATTTTTATGCCCAGAAATGGTTAGCCAAAACTCTAGTCTTCAACTTCAGAATTATGAATACTGAGTAACATTTTTTTTTTTTGCTACCCTTTTGGTGTTTAGATTAGTCTAGTGATACCCACTGAAGGATTAACTCCAGTGACATTATCCTCTATATGAATGCAAAACAATAATTGAAATTTCCCAGCTCACTTTTTGAAAAGTAATCCTTTCTGAAGGGATTGGAAGTACCCTGAAAGGAGTACTAATATTTAGTTAATAATTACAGGTACTGGATGTGAGATAGTCAATAGAAGTGTGGTCTCAGCAAGACTGAAATCAAGCAACCTTATTTTTATTTTAACTTGGGAACGTACCTTTTAATGAATGGCTTATAAAAACTTCAGCAGAAATAATGGGGTGATTTCAGGAATGGAGCTAAAAGAAAAACAGTGTTCCAAAAATCTTGGAAAGAAAATGCAATGTCTTAAGCAAGAAATCCTAGTGCTCATATGCTTTAGCAAGATGGTAAGAGAAATCAGGATGTATTTGTTCTAGGGCAGAGTTGTTTTTTTGTTGTCTGTGAAAAAGCTAATTGAATCTTTCTCTTAAGTACAGTGGAGCCCATTAAAGTGGAGCCCATAAATGCCAATTTCTCAGATAATCTTGTGCAAAACCAGCATGTTTCATATACTGTGAAACATCTCAAGGTGTTAGTTCATGAGGGAGATGCTTTTGTGTTGACAGTGTCCTTCTGCTAACCTTGCATTAGCCTTTGTTGGAAGAGGGGCACCTAACCAGGCTGTAGGACTTGAAGTAATGGGAGACCAAATATAAACTGTAGAGAAACAGAAAAATGAAAGTTGGAGGATGTGGATAGAAGAAGATATATTAGATGTGTGAATTCATCATAATTTCTTCTCTGGACTGAGGAACTAATTTTAAGGACAGTTGCTGTCTTCTGTGTCTCTTATGATGGTATGTGGTTTTTATGTCATGATACCAATAACTGTAGTGATATTGTGGAGAGTGGTAGGAAATTAGTGGTGGGAAATCCGCAGTCACTCTTAGGTTTGAGGGACTGAGATATATTTCTGTCTGGTTTACAAGCAAGATAATATGTTGTGCTGAGACTAGTGTACACATTTGCCAGAGCTTCTGGGATTTCATGTAGGGAGCAGAGGGAGGAGACAAGGGCAAAAGAGTACAGCTTGTTCTCCAACTGTTCCTTAATTCTGCAGTGAAGAGACTGTAGGTGCTAATGCTGTAATCTGTGCATATAAGAACAAAAGAGCACACAGGCAAAGTGGTGCAGGCAAGGACTTGAGATTATTTGGAAATGCCAGTGTTGTGACAGTATCGGCATGTAACAGTTTTTGTAGTTTGTGGGCTGAAAAGCAGTGAAAATAATGCTGTATTTTTTGAGAGGTGTGCCAGAGCTACAGGTTAATGCAATTTATATTTCAGTAAGGAATAGATTAAGTATAACATGTCATGAAAGGGTCTCCAAAACCTTTACAAAGTAATTCCTTTTGAATTGTATTTAATAAATTCCTGCCTCAACTAGTGGAGATTGAGGGACTCAGTAAAGTAATAAAAAGGTTAGCTGGAGGGTTATTTTATTCTATACTCAAAACCTTTATATGTAGTGCAATTATCAGGTGTTTTCAGGGAAATTAGAAAGGGTAGGGGAGAAATCAGTATGTGTTAAAGAGTAATACTTAAGAGATGGAACACTATACCAAGATTAGACTGCTAAACTTAATCTTAAATGTTTAACATCCAAATGTCTTAGATGAAAACTGGGTTTGCAGCAACCTATGGTGTTATTTAGAACCAGCTCTTACCAGAGTCTTCTGACTATTCCTTTTATAGTATAATGTATCATCTTTTTTCCCCTCTTATATATAATTGTGTTACTTTTCCACTAGGGGATGGGATTGCCAGGGAAAGTAGTCCATTTATTAACTGGGCAGAATTGGGCAGAGGAAACATGTATGAAGGAAAGAATATGGCTCTCTTTGAGGTAAGTTAAATACTCCAAAAACATATTTTACCTTTAATGGAGATGAGCAATCACTTGTTTTCTTTCTGTCTTAAAATTTAGTGGGGGGGAAAATGAGTTTTAATAACTTTTTCATAGTTTGGTTCCTGCTAACATTCCATTTCAGTGGATTTGAATGGTATGTAAGCAAGAACAGTAAATATTGGTATGCATTAATGTGAAGATATGAAATAAGTCTTTGTGCATTTAAATTTTTTGGGCTAGGATCTAGACATTGTTAGACAAAGCTACTGGAAGTTAAATCTATTTTTTAAAGAAAGCAGTATTCAGTTTTAAAAGGATTAGCAAAATAATTTGTTCAACAGGGGTATTACAGACTTTTTGTTAAGCAGCAATGCTATAAAACAAATTTACAAGCCATGACTTAGTAATATTGTCCAACTACAATGCAGAGCACACCATAGCAATTTCTAGTGTAAATATCTACTTCATAATGGACGTTTCATACCTTTTTAATCGACTGAATTATTATAATCAAATTACTGAAGAAAGTGCATTAATTGAGTACTTTTAAGGGCCACTTTTGCAATTAAGTAATATTTCTAGTAAAAACCTTAGTTGCTCTGCTCTAACAGCATCAACTAGTCTTGCTCTGATGCTTGCTGTTAACAAAAACAAGGTGCTTCCAATATTGTTTACTTACCTTACTGTTGCATTCTTCTCACTATTTTCTTGTTGTTCTTTTACATTTCCCTCTTCTTCCTTCCAAGTATCTTTGCACAGATGGCATGGTCTTTCATCTCAACTGTGCATGACCCAAATAATGTATATTTACTATTTTTCACTGTTTTAGAGAAAATTTTGCTAAGGATCAAAGTAATGTTGATCATTAATTGTCTTTTTATCATGTTTGCAATATCTTAGTATTTTTGACAGGAATGATGCTTTTAAAGTTCTGTCATTGAATTTTTCTCCTTCAAGCTCTGTTCCATAAAGCCATTTCCAAAACTTTATGTGGTTCAAATTAGTTGCTGTATTCCTCAGTGATGATAATTTGGCCATAGCTGTTTTTTGTCCCAAATCTGTTATTTTGAAATATGGCTTACATTAAATCGACTGATATAAAACCATTATTTTTATGTATCTCAAGTTATAGATATTGCTGTTAACAGTATCATGTTGAAAGCCTTCTAGCGACTTTGTCACTGCTGGTGTTTTTGTGGCGAAATTTTTTGATACTATGTATGTTTCACAGTAAGTTTCCTATAATCTTGTTTTTCTCGTGTTTTCAGATGTGAGAGTTGTATAAACCATTAAAAAGAAGTTTTACTATTATAAGCATTATCATTACCTGATCTCCCAGGCAGAGATACTTACTTCTTGTCTGTGTTTGTTGCCCTGATCTCTTGTCTTCTTTCCAGTGTTCAATTTTTTGTATTTAATTGAATTCTCTTGGATCCATTTTTCTTGGAATTCTTGTGTTGTATATTCTTCTGGATTGTATGATTTGTTTTAGCATGCTTTTGTTTTGTAGCAGTAAAGAAAGATGGGCTGATGTCTGTGTCAGGTGCTATTACATATGTGCCATTATATGTCATATGCATACGTGTGGGTATTTTCAACAAGTTAACACTTTGGAAGTAATATGCCTGGTGTAAGATAAAATATGTAAGCCTGCAGCACTAGACTTCAGAGAGGTACTTAAGTACTTTAGTGCTTGAGAAATCATTTCAAGTCGCTTTCTAAACACAAGCAAGATGCTGGAAAAACACCCTAATGACTCAACCCTACCAGTACAATCCACTAAAGACTGTACTCTGATAAAAATAGATTTTTAAAATTACAGTGGAATTTCTCTAGGTTTTCCTTATATTTGAGCTGCATATTGTAAGGTAGTTTAAAAATATGAAAGAAATGGTGCAACATAGCATGTAGAGTTAAACTTCTAGAAATAGTAGAACTTTCTTGTTGTTTGAAAGCTGAATGGTATTCTGTCATGCTAATTTTTTTATTTGGCTGAATCAGGACTGACCTGCTGAGTATGTTTGAAGCAGTATCAAAAAATGATGACTTAAAAAGAAAATTTATTTAATAAATGCAGTATTCTTCAAAACCCAACAGGAAGAAATGGATAGTAACCCTATGGTGTCATCTCTTCTGAATAAACTAGCAAACTACACTAATCTAACTCAAGGAGTGGTGGAACATGAAGCAGATGAAGACAGCAAACGAAAGGAAGTCAAGGTATTTAGATTTCTAATAATTTATCAAGATAAAGCTAGCTATAAGAGGTGCATTTTTCAACCTGAAAAGAGAATATGTGGACACCTAAAGACAGGAGTGAGGTTTGTAATACCATGTTTAGAACTGAAGCATTTGCAGCAGGACTTGTGTTAATTTGATGTTCTTGTTAGCATGTTTTAGCAAAACTGTGCTATAAAACCCTAGGTAAAACATATTCAAAGCTAGGATCTGAAACATGGAGTATATCCAGTTTTTCTTCCTTTCTTTCCTTCTTCCTTATGAACTTCTGCAAGCATCAGTACTTGTTACCTACCTCTAGTGAGCATACAGTAGGACTTTTTGCAGGTTTATTAATATATTTTAACTGCCTAGGTTTTTACGTAGTTATATTAAGGCAAATTTGCAATGAAACAGGTCACTCTTTTAATTCGATAAGCATATTTGCACCTCTTAACATGGTAGTAGTTTTTTTGAGTGGCTGTCTTGGTTTTGTGTGTTGGAGTAAGTATTTTTAAAACTTAATGGATGCATTCCAAGAAAACGCTTTGTTGCAAACATCAAAAATATTATATGTAGGGGAGGGGAAGTCATATGCTCTGTTTGACACATTGCTCAACACACTTGCTAGAAGTGAACTGAATCCATCAAGGGTTGTCTGTCTACTGGATACCCAAAATGTGTAGAAGTGGAATGTATGCAATAGTTGGAGTCTGCAGTGGCATGTTGGATTGATCCCTCTGTTAGCAGAGGCTGATTTTGAAGGAGAAAGCTTGGATTAAAGCGTATGACCTGACAGAGTATAAGAACGTATAGGCAAAGGAGGAATGATGAGCTGCATGGTGACTGAAATGAAGAAAGTTAAGGCAGATGCTGGGAAGGGACAGTGCTTGGAGTCACCTGTCTTTGTGTAGGAGAAGGGGTCCTGCTACTGAATTTATATGCCAAGCTATGAAGAAAAGAGGAGAAGTACGTGAGAATGAGAAAAAGGAAAATGAGCACAGAGCAGAAAAGACAGAGATGAAAATACATTTGAAAATAAGCTTAGGACAGCAACTCATTTGACTGGAAGGAAGCTTTTGAGTGGAAGTTTGTACCAGGACAGTGGGCAAGGGTCAGGGATAAAGTCCAGCTGTTTGTTTAACTTTTTGCTTATCCTGCATTTGTTAATGAGTGTGTTTTCTTTCTGTTTTAGCTGTGCTTGATCTATGTTTGTTTCATCTCATCTGAAGGTAAACTTCAGACGTGAGAAAAGTAACACTGATCTTCTCACGCTTTCCTTACTGTGAACCCTGTTGTCTGTTCAGCTGCTGTGTCAAGGTTTTTGTCAATGCAGCACCGCCTTACTACCTCTGTAGCTGACTGTGAACAAATGAACATCATGTCCTCACTTGCACTTGATCTTGTTTGTGCTCCATGTGGTGGCCTGATAAAACAATTTTTATGTATGTTTTTTATGTATGTATGTTTATGTATATCTTAATTTCATTTTTGAAATTGTGATAGTTAAGTAGTAGCCTGTCAGAGTAGCATTTTTAATAGTGTGATGAGACAGTGGAGTTGATGCTGCATATGGATATCGCCCAAGATGCTAAAAATAAAAAATACAGTCTAAATGGCATTCTATGGTTTCTTATAAATACTTGGAAATGTAGTGTTTTCTAATAATTTTGATAACTTCTAAAGCATCAATGCTTGCTTATTTATTTAAATCAATTGCCATTTTTCACAGCCCAAGTTTATTACAGTGATTTAAGACTATCTTGTATAACTGGAAAGCTACTGTGTATAACTGTTGATTTTAACTAGAGTATTTCAAAGCCTGATTTCTCTCCGTAAGTGTAGAAGACTGAAACTTTAGTGATGAAGCCTGAATGCTTTTGTGTGTGTCTTGACCTGTGGTGATCACTAGCAAATAAAAAGTACACATATACTATGTTGTGACAGGTTTTACAATTTTTGAAAAAAAGAAATTGTAGTCAGCTCTGCATTACTTCACGCTCTGTCTTAATACCTGGTCTGTCTTTTTTTAAAACTGAAATTATTATTGAATGTAATTTTTTGTGCCAGCTTTGTGGCAATTTGTGATCAACTTTTTTCAGAATATAAATGATATTTTGATTATGGCAGTAATTTATCTTTAACCTCTAACTTTAGACTGTAACTGGTATTTCAGAAAAAGTTTGTAAAGTGTTATGATCAACAGATAAAGGGCCATCCTATCCTTACCAAGGTGTCATCCTAATTCCTGTGGAACAAGAGAGCTTGTTATCACAATAGTTTTCTCTCTTTTCAGGAATTTTTCTTTATAAATAGCATGTGAATATTTGCAAAGTTGAACACTCCTAATCTACCATTCAATTTCACTTGGCATTTGTTCATGGAGTATTGTATTTGTTTTGGTTTAGGGCAAGTTTGGGAGATAACTCCTAAAGGGGCTTCTCTACGAAAGCAGACTCAATTGCCTCTCTCCCCCAACTGGTTCGGGAGAAAATATTTCCTTGGAGAAAAAGTGGAAAGAAACCTTGTGATAAGTGTTTATGGATTTAGATTTATTAGTGCAAAGGAATTTATGTTCTCACTTTGTTTCCAGGGTCCACGAATGGGCACTTTTATTGGCGTATATCTTCCCTGTTTGCAAAACATTTTGGGAGTTATCCTTTTCCTGCGTTTAACATGGATTGTAGGAACAGCTGGAGTTCTTGAGTCTTTCATCATTGTGTTCATGTGTTGCGCTTGTGTAAGTTAACCTTATTTTATTTCTTTTTTAAACTGTTGTCCAAATCCTCTGTTGAAAGAGTACTGACACCTTCTAATGTATTAGTATCAGGGAAAAAAATAACCATGTTTAATCATGCTGGTAAAATTGTACTGATATTTAACCAATATGGTTGAATTGAGAAAAATGGGTTATATATATAAGCAGTGAGTGTCATGTGTCAGTCTAACCCATATGAACATTATTTTGAGTTGATCAAGGTAAGCTTTTGTTTGAAGTATTATATGAGTTTTATTAAATCAGCCTTTAGCAAATATTTCATTATTTCCTTTGAGATCTGAACTGTTCTGCTTTTTCCAACTTCAGAACAAGCTGAGTAATAAACTACAAATCAAATCCCACAGCATTACATCCATAAAGTAATTTTTTAGAATATGAGAGCACTACTAGATGTTGTCATAATAACTTTACAATTAGTTTTCACTACTTTTTAAATTGAAATATTGAACATACTATTTTAAGTATATGCAATGGTCCGTATTCTTCCAGTTAATTTTTAAAGACTGTGTCAAGTATAAGTTAACTAAATCTTCTGCTGAAAAGTTGAGTACTTGAGTTGCATGAATATCCCAAATTAAACATCTTGGGGAGGAAAAAAATCTAGTTCCATTTGATTACTGTTTTGCCTAATCTTTAAAAAAAACACCTCCAAAACTCTGGTATTTTAAATTTCCTCTATTTCATCTTTCCACAGACTATTCTAACTGCAATTTCAATGAGTGCTATAGCAACAAATGGTGTAGTTCCAGGTAATGAAGAATTTTATCTTACATGGCAAATTCTTAAATAATGGAAGCTTAAATCTGTGATAAGAAATTCTTATAATTCTCAAATATCAGAAGTAATGCCTTTGTATCAAATGCATTTTTTTCTTTTAATTGATTTTATAAATAATTTTTTAATGTGAGATACAGTATTTAAGACTGGGTCTTCTGGGAATTACAATCTGCAGCACATCTTTGTCATCAGTCATTTGATCCTGTTTTAATCAAAGATAAGATGTTATAAATGGAATTAATAGAGACTGGTCTTCACACAAAGCAAATTTCTTTACAAATAAGGGTACTACTTTTCTCTCTCCTGAATTTTTCTACATTCCAGCTAAACACTGGAGTTAGTTATGTTGTTTTCTGCAAGAATAGTAACTGGTGTCATGGCAAAAATATTTTTCTGTATAAACACTCTAGGTTCTGCCCATCTCCTTAAATCTTGAGGATAGATTGATAAATTGATTCGGCTTCATAAAGTAAGAGGATTTTTTTTTTTTTAGTGGCAAAATGAGTTAGCTCTTGAAGCTCTTAACCTTTTCAGTTTCTCGGGACAATAACTGATAGTTCTGGTGCTCAGATATTGATATGAACTCTGAACTTAAACTGAAGTTGTTGGGCTATAATAAAAGTAAAAGCTATAATTTGTGTAGGATGTAGAATAATTACATTATAATTTTATTTCATGGATACAGTACCATATATGAAATAAAAAATCAAGAGACAATTTTGTTTAAAATACTTGTGTTTTATAATAAAATTGAGTTATTCAAATCAGTGCACAGATAACTAAAATGTTCTGCTCTATTCCCCCTCCTATTTTTAAAGTTCATCTTAATGGTTTTGTTTAACATCTTTCACAGACTATGAAGGCTGCAGTTCTTACATGAGATAGGTCTTAATTTTCACTTTTTTAGTTGTTGGTGCCAGGTTCTTAGAGAAATGATGCTTGTCCTGGAATACATGGAGAAGGCAGAAAGCACAGATAAGAACCTAGGACTGAAGGAGACCTGAGCAGCAGGATCCTTTATTTTGCCTTTATATGCAAGAGCATTTATTATATTTAGTAAAAGGATTGGTGATGCATCATAATATCTTAGTTTTTCTTTCATTCATATTGAAAACACTGAAGACTGTGGAACAAGCTGCCCAGGTGAATGGTGGAATCACCATTCTTGGAAGTGTTCAAAAAACAAGGAGGTGTGGTGCTTAGGGACAGGGTGTAGTGGTGGACCTGATAGTGTTAGGTCAATGATAGGACTTAATGATCTTGGAGGTCTTTTCCAACTTTAATGACTCTATGAAAAACAGCTTTAGACTCTGCACATTGATATATGTTATTTAAAATTGCACATATCATTCTTCTCTGTCTCTTTCTTCCCACAAGCAGGACAAAAAGAATGAATTTAAGAGTAGATGGAGAGGGAACCAGAGAGACAAGTTTGCCTTGGGGGAGTTGGTTGACAGTCTAAAAGAAAGAGATGAGTTTGAATTTAGGGCCTTATTAAAAGGCAAATAGTGCAATGGAAATAGGATGGTGGTGGTGTAGTTTATGACTTAAAGAAAGATGATGCATACATATGAGAAATAAGAGTGAGAAGAATTGAAGAACTCAGGGTAAAAGTGAATTTCATATAAGTGGACAAGAAAAAGCAATCTCTACCCAACATCTTTAAACAGTACTAAAAAAAAAGTGATCTGAAGTGAAAGTGGCAATGGCTTAGTATACAGAAAATAGAAAGAATCAGTAGAAAATAATCTATTTGTCCATGCCTCATAAAACAATTATTTTGGAAATTTATTGTTTGATGGGGAACAGCTTAAGGTTAGAAGCTAAAAATTCATTCATATCTATTTATACATGTATATCCTTTTCTAATTTACTTCTGTTTAGCTTGTGGAATTTTCCCCCTTCTTTCTTTGGTCTTCGCTTTCTGTTCCACACATAATGCACATGGGGATATTAATCTTGAAATGTACATTCTAGCTATCTAGATGGTATAGACATTGATTACAGGCTTGTCATGAGCATGTCAGTGGAGACACATGCAGTGGTTATCTTGATTATGTTGACTGAATGATTCAAATTTTTGTTCTCTACTGCCATCCTTAATCTGAAGTCCTGGAGGTGTTTTGTGTTTCTTGTTTGTTTGTTTTGTTTGTTTTTTGTTTGTTTTTTTGTTTTGTTTTGTTAAATTCACAGCTGGAGGCTCTTACTACATGATTTCAAGATCTCTAGGGCCAGAGTTTGGTGGAGCAGTGGGACTTTGTTTCTACTTGGGCACAACCTTTGCAGGAGCAATGTACATTCTTGGTACGATTGAAATTTTATTGGTAAGTACTAGTCTCTATTAAGACTAAATGTATTTGGGCTTTTTCAGGATATTGCTGATGAATTTTCTTAATGGTCTAAAATGCATTCTAGTTTGGTGATCGTTAATGTTTTGATACTACATTTTCAGGATGTTGATATTTATTTTTACTCTACTTGTGACTATTTGAGGAAGTTAAATTCTTATCAGTAATACAAAAATAAATTAAATGCTATTTGATGTGTGTTTATTTTATACAATGTGGGAACCAAGCAGAAATCTTCTCTTTCCAAATAGTTGGAAAGCATTACCAGGGTAACTCACTGCTGCTCAATGAAAAGTTGTGGAGAACATGAAGGGCATCTCTGTGATGAGGCAATAATAATCTATCACACTTCCTCATTTCCGAACTACTGGCTTTGAATTTTCATATATTTGCAAAGATGCTGTGGAAGTCTGCCTGTGTGGCAGTGGCCTGGCTACTATGGCTTTGCTTCATCCAGGAGGGGCCAATAATTGGTCATCAAATCAGAAACTGAAGATATGCACTATGCACAGGAGATACTTAAGAATTCTTTCTTGTTACTTACCATGATCCATGTAATCAAATCCAGGCTTTTTTACATTTAAATTAGAGATAGTATTCACTAATGCTTGCTTGTGTGACCTCATCTGGCTTGTTGTCTGATCTATGGTAGTAACACAAGCATATGTTGAATTGTGGATCGAATTTGGTGCACTGTTCTCTCTATTAGAGGGTCATGTTGGGCTTGTGTTGCTAATACAAATGCACGGGATCCAGCTACAGAATCTGAAGTAAAATGCTGCCCAGGACATCTGTCAAAGACCTCAGAATAGACCCCTGACATAGCCACAAGGCATGAGTATTGCTTTTTTTTTCCTTCACTGGGGCATGGATTATTTGGAGAATCAGAAATCCTTCATCTGTCTGTGGTTTTCCCTGGCTAAGGCTTTGAACAGCAGGGCAATAAAATCCACAAGAAAATTTTCTGGAGTACCTCCACAGAGAGCCTGAAACTTCTGCAATGTCACAGTGTAGGATTTCCCAACAATATATACTTTATCTGTAATAATTTTTTAGTTTGCTTTCTTTTTCTTCCATGATAATGTGACAATTTCCATATCTTCTAGCATTCTAGTAAATAGTAATTTACTAAACTTTAATCTAAGAAAATTCTAGTAAATAATTGTCTATGTCTATTTTTGGATTTTGCTTATGAATGCATCACGGTAGCCTCCTGTTCAAAGTTTCTTCCTGCCTTTAGAAATTATATTATTGAAAAATAGTCTTTGAGCAGTTTTTTTTTAAGGATTGGAGTTGCCTCAAGCCCTGGTAGCTAAGCAGAGAGGGATGTTTTTAGGGTGCTAGAAGAAGGCATATAGATATTGTTGTGTAGTGTACTACACCAATGTCTCAGAACTACAGATCAGTTTGTCTTCTCGCACACATTTATCAACATAAGTGCTATTAACAGTTTCTAACTTCTTTTCAGGTACAACACACCAAAATTTAAGAAAGAGAGATCTGTAACAGAATCTTGTTTGAAATTGCAATAGTTTGAAATGTCTGGTTTAGCACATGACTAAGCTTCTTCACAATACTCTTAAATTGTGCTGTTGCAACTTTAGATTAAAATTTTATGAAGTATTATATAGGGTCTATAATACTGAAAGCATTTTTAGTTTATTATACTTTTGTTTGATTCTTCATATTTTGTTTCAATCAATGGAAGTCCCGTTTATGGTTTTGTTTTTTTCTTTTATTTTTGTCGTGTTCTACTTCCTTCCACCACCATTTTCCCATTTGGCAGACACATGAATTTGAGGAGTGGAAGCTCTTTAACAGGAGATAAGAAGCTGGAGCAGAAGCTGTATCCTATTCTTAAACCTTGTTATTCTTCACCCTCACCCTTTTCCTTCCTTTATCTCTACAATTTCTTGATGCCCAAATTATATGGCTAAACTAATTTTTGAAAGGAAAACGTATAGGAGGTTAGATTTTATAGTTCAAGTAAATGATTTAATAAAATGTTCACTATTACATGTATGATAGTTCACCATATCTCTTACAGACCTATATTTCTCCAAGTGCTGCTATATTTAAAGTGGCAGATGTTGGTGAAGAAACAGAGGCTATGCTGAACAACATGAGAGTCTATGGAACATGTATTGTCATTCTGATGGCCATAGTAGTTTTTGTGGGAGTAAAGTATGTCAACAAACTTGCACTGGTCTTCCTTGCCTGTGTGATTCTTTCCATCATTGCCATATATGCTGGAGTTATTAAGACTGCTTTTGACCCACCTGACTTTCCGTAAGTGCAATATTGAAGTAGTGTAGGTTATTTAAAAGAAAAAAAAGTGTGGGGAGGGAATAGCTACTGTAACCATTTCATGTTTTAAGCTAAGTTTCAAAATACAAACACTTTGGTTTCAGTGGTAGGTTTATGTAGTTTAAATACCAATGTGGTCATTTGTTATTCTGAGTTACATATCTGAATATTTCTCCCATTTTTTTATAAGATATGGTAACTCTAGAAAATGTTCTTTGGTGCTTAAAATTTGGCTGTTATTTCATCCACACCCAAGGAGCAAGAAGGTGCATTTTGCTGATAGTAAATGTAACTGCTTTATCTAAAGATTTAAACTAAAACCTATAGAATAAAGTAAAAAGGTCAAGAAACCATTGTAAATATTAGCCATAGTTATAAAAACCCCATAAATTTAAACTTTGTGTTATGAAGAAATTTTAGAAACTTCCATTTATCCCTACTTAAAAATGATACATTGAAGTGTTTAAATTCACTTGTGTTTGTGAAGGCTTTCCCATTAATAAAATGTTGCTTGCTATGCATGACAGATTGCTTCTCAAGGTTCTTTATGTGCTAAATTCCTAGCTCAATAGGAGTTACTTTACTCCAGTTATTAGCTGCGTTTTACTTTACCCAGTTATATGAGTTGCGTTTTTGCATATTTTTCTGTTGAAAGAGGAAACAAAATTATAGTGCTTAAGATATGATCAGAATAGTCTGATAACTTCGATCTTGTGTGGCACTTCATAGTGAGAGTTATCCTTTGCTGTATGATTGTTATAAATTCAATATTACTTTGAAGTGTTGGTAATTACATTACAAATTGACCATTAGAGTAGTACTTGTGGATTGTTCTGTAACATTATTTTACATGTAATATGTAAAATGTTGACATATTTCTGAATAAAACTTAAGTTTCTTACAGTAACTTCCAGTGGGGAAACAGTAATATCTTTTTGTCACCTGTATAGATAAAAGAGAGTTTATGTGGATATGTAGCATAGGTGAGACTCATTACCAAGTTCCTGGAGACTTTATATGTGGCTACTACTGTAATATTATTGTATTGTAGGGGAAAATATAAAAAGAGTTTATTTTCCACTAATTATAATGGTTTACAACTGCCTCAAAATGAGAAACTCAAGTATGATTTTATGTAATGGTAAGACTGATCTGATGGTGGTAGTTTAAAAAACTCAAATAAAACAGCTTCTACTTAGCTGGTTAGTTAGGTTGGTATACTAACCTCCATTAAGTTTGTCCATTGTGTAGGTGGTAAAATAGTTTACCTCAAGATCTCCCAGTTGAATCAAACTGAAAGAAGTTTCCATTGCTTGTATCATTTGACCCTGCTGCTATTGAGTCATCAAATCAGTAGCAATTAAAAAGAAAAATAAGCAAGGCAAGTGACAAGATGATCTCTTTAGGAACAGTTTTCTGTTAAATCTGCTCAAATTCCATGAGATGCAATACCTTGAAGCTGCACTGGTGTATCTGCCTAACCCTCATGTTATATTTGAAGTTCCTTCTTTTGTCTTTAAAGATCTATATAATTCCATTTTTAAGCAAGCCTGGAATCTTAAACACCTTTTGTATAGTTTAACAACGGAATATATCTAGATCCTTAATGTTCTCTGCTGGTAGGAATTTGCTTTTGACAGCTGTTCAGACTTTTCTAATTCTCTTTCATTCCCGAAAAAAAACTTTGCTTCCCAATACATGATTCTTTAATTTGTATTCCCATCACTGTTGTTAAATTTTGCTGTTTAACCTTCCTGCCTTATTTCCTACCTTTTGGACTGTAATGTTTTTAAGGATCATCTAAAGTTTTCAGTTGCTTGACAAGGAAGAGAATGGTTTACTTGCTTAATCTTACTTTTATATTTTTTTCATCAGACTCATCTTTTAATTAAGTTTATAAAGTATTACTTAATTTTACTTCTTTCTTGTAGGACTGAATGCATCATAATTGCTGTTATTCAGTAGTCAAGCTGCTTAAATTGATTGTACTTTCTGAAGAACAAATCAGAAGGCAAAATAGCTGCCAATACCATAAAGAAGAAATATTTCATCCATATTTTAAAGACTATTGATGATAGTTTTAGATGTAGAAACTATACACTGTTTTAGTAGATGTTGTATAGGCCTTAAGGTAGACAGTGTAAGTAACACGTTTCTGAAGAAGTCTAATGGACAAAAAATGGCTTAATTCACAGCCTTGTATTGAAGGAACACTGATTTTATTTTTCTTGTTTGTAGTATCTGTCTCCTTGGAAACCGTACATTGTCAAAACGCAGCTTTGATGTCTGTGCCAAATTTACTGAAAGCAATAATGAAACAAAGACTACACCTTTGTGGCGCCTGTTCTGTGATAGTTCTTTGCTTAATGCTACATGTGATGACTACTTTAGTCTCAATAATGTAACAGAAATTCAAGGAATTCCAGGAATAATGAGTGGAGTTCTAACTGGTAAGTTGGAAAGCACAGTGATTTAGAAGTTTTTGGATGTTATTAATTTGGCCAATGGCTGGTCAGTAATACAGTGGTCTAGTCTGTCACTGTTTCTTTACCCCTACTCTGTGTGAAAGATTGCTACCTTGAGCATGCTTCTTCCTATAAAAGAACCTGGTTTTAGAATCTTAGTATCAAGTGCTTTAATTTGGGAGTAATTGGAGTTTTATAGGTACTCTTTCAAAAGCCATTGTTCAATCAAAAAGGTGATAAAGTGCTCATGACAGCTTTTTTTTTTTTTGTTAAATGTGTATGCCAAACATTTCAATAAGCCATTCATTAATATATTTTCAAACTCTCCTGAGAGAGAACTTGTTTCCAGTTCACAGGTGGTGCAATGAGAATGAAGTTCTGTGGATTGTCCAGTGTACAAGTTAGTGGTTGAATTAGAGAAGAGCAGTCTTCAAAGTGTATAGATCTTATTCTCTTTACAGATCTGTATGGTTGTAGCAGCTTGGAATTCAGATTGCATCAAGTCACAGGATTCATCTTAAATGTGTGATAATTCGTGTTGTACATATGCAAATAATGTTTCTGGAAATGAAATGGATACTCTGGTACCTCTCCTTTGCATTCCCTTAAAATAGTTTGATTTATATAAATATGCTACATAGGGACCCTAGACAGTCATTGCTGCCACAGTACTCCAGTTTAAAATATCACATATAAAATGTACAAATACATTAAAAGATACTAAATGAAACATAGGCTTCTCTGAATCTAAATTTGTGGTTTTTTAAAAAAAAATTCTCAATGAAAAATTAAATTACTTGTTTGTTACAAGAAATGTAATTTAGAGTTTGTTCTCTCAGTTTTAAGATTTAACATATGCATATCTACAATTTTTCGTGAATAATTTTGCACTTCCTGCCCCAGCTCACAAGTTAGCTGCAAGTTACAATTTTTTGCTACCCTGTAAGATTTAAGAGGTTTCAGGCTGAGTACTATTTTTTTTTTCTTGTTCCATTCACTGTTTAATGTTTCATTCAACAAGCAATCCTGTATAAAAGTATATTTTGCTAATTTATTCTCACATAATGTTAAGATCTCTAAAGACCAAGAGTCTGCTGAAAGCTCATTGTGAGCGACATGCTTTCCAGTATTCACTGTTCTTTGCTTACCTGTAGTGAATTTCATCAATTCCTTTATGTTTACTCACGGAATCTGATATGTTTGGTTTTGTTTTTTTTAAAGTTCCTTGAAGTTGTTTTTCCTTCCACAACTTTGAATTAACTGAGAATTGCCAGCAGGCTCTCATCTTGGTGCTAGCTCCTATTTTTGGGCTGTTTGAGTGTACTGGATAGCACTGGTTACATCCTGATGGTCATTCTTGTAGAAGTTTCCTGGTGGCTCTTTGGCATTATAAAGCTGTATTTCCATTTACTTTTACCTGTTGTTTTCTTTCTTTGAACTGTTTTTTTTTTTAATCCATGTGAGGAGATTTCCTCTTATCCAATGTCTCGTTTAGATTCCTTGGGTGAGGAATATTTTAATAACATGGGCAATATAGATGGACTGATCCAAGTGGATTGCCTTCATTTATGTTTCACTTAAGGAATTTGAATACTTCTGACGATTTTCTTTTGCAGAAGCTGAGTTGAGGCTTCCCCAGTTTTTCAAAACTAAAGAAAAACTGTGAATAACTACTAAGTTTTGTCAGAAATAAAAAATAACTTCCCTGTTTATTGGCTCTATCAACTGCTACTGTTGCTTTTGACTGTTCCTGTAGAGATGCTACTAATGAGTTCTTAGTTTCTGTGTCTCCCTGAAACACTTTTAAATTAAAGAAATGGCTTTCCATTTTCCTTGGGTATCAATACTATTTCACGTCAACCTCACGTATTTCAGTGTTCTTGGAGATTTCAGGCTGCTTTTCCTGCTTTTGAAAATATGTGCTCTGCTTCTGTTCACTGATTAACATTTTTCTGAACAAGAGCTTCTCCATAACAATGCATTTCACTATCCTAGTTACATCTAATGCTAAAACTAGGTGTCTTACTTGCTGAGTATGAGCACACATTCTGATACCTAGCTTCAGCTCTCATGGCAAAGATTTCTCAAGGAGAGTTTTCTTCCACTTGATGAATCTTCTGCCTTGTGTGAAGACTTTGGAGCTGCAGGCTCTGCGCATTAAAGTTTCCTGAGCTGTGACTGGGAATATTCAGATGCCATGACTGGGTGTCTCAGGAAGTGTGCTAAATCCTCACACCATTTATTGGGCACTCATATAAAGTATTCATCTCTTATATACCTTCTATGAGTGTTGTCCTAAGAATAATAAATCATTCTGCAAGTTGCTGGCTAAATAGGCCTATAACCCTAACAGAAATTATACAGTTCTGCTACTTGCTTTATCAACATTGTTCTGATGGTGATAGCATGTTGGTCTGATACACTGTACCTGTTCTTGTGTATGTACCCTAAATGTTAGCTGCTAGAGGAGCCTTAGTAATCAAGGAATGGTCCTAGAAGGGCCAAATGTCTGGACTTTTCAGAAAAGTTATTCTTTTTTCTCACCCTAACTTTCAAGTCCACTTGGATTATCACTTTTGGGAAAATGAGCATAGGAAAGCTCTGTGTGACAAGTTATGAAATAGGAAAGTGATTTCTATTCAACAAAATATCTAAGCTGATTTTACCCATGTGCTGGCATGCACAGCTCCACAGTTAAGTTGTATGTATTGCAGTGCTTAGGTCATTGTCACTTCTGTGTCATACTGAATAAAGGACACAAGCTGTTGAGTGCTTATTAAGAATTTAAGTGCTTTTGATTGGCAATTCAAACTGATTTTTGGATTTTCTTCTTATGTTTCACAGGGGGTAGATAGATCCTAATTTGGAGATCTAGTCTTATGTTACATCACTCATCAAATCTCTGCTAAAATTCCTGAAATTTAAAGTTCTCTTGTTTCATTAACTTCTTATGGCTTCTGTCTTATCTCTAGATCAGTCTGTTACTCCTCTTCATTTGATTGTAGTAATACACATAGCATTCCTTAGCAAATAATAATTAATTTTAATCTTTGCTCTTCTTTCTCTTCTGCTTCTCATGCATACTTCCATACATGCTTACTGACTGTAAGATTTTAAAAAAAAAAATCTGGGTGTGAGTACCCTCTCTTTGGCCACTTATGGTTCACAGTCCATCTTCTGTTGTGCTCAAGGTTACTTTTTGCTATTATAAAGACTTAGAATACTGTACTTGAATTCCCTAGAGTTGTTCAGGATGCCTGAAAATTGGCTATTCAATGATCCTGGCAGTCCATGGGAATTTTTATTTCCTTACTGTAAAATCCTTTGCCTTCTTGACAGGCCAGAAGAGTATCTACTTTGTTTTCTCACATATGATAGGACAACTTGTCTCATTTTCAAATAAGCATCAGTGTGGTCTGTTCTCACAATCTTATCAAGGTACACATCCAGTGTTTTCCACAAATTTAAGCTATCAAAATTTACTCTTTGATCTATCACTCTTCAAACAAATCTATTTAGTTTGCTGGGGAATTTGAGCCCTATTCTGCTGGGGTTTTTTTGCTTATCAGTGATCTTCTGGAGTCTGGTTATCAAGCTTTTGTCACCATATGGAAATATTTTGCCATTAACAGCTGAATCCTAAACTGTTATGCAGGATTATTCTGTACAGGAGGTGTCAAAGAACTCAAATTACTGTTAAGTAGCATTTCTTTTTCATACTGCTCCTCAAAATACAAGAACAAGAAGTATTAGTATATACTAAGATTCCTTGAACCTGGAGATAAGTTTCCTTATTTTTTCACAATAGAACATCTGTGTGCCTGTGGAATGTAAGTGTACATTCTAAAAATATGTTAGAATTTAATTCTATATTTTGCTTTAGAGAAAGAGAAGATTTTGCAGGACACATCTCACACTCTACTGTATTTTTACTAGCATGGACTGGAGTGCCCATGATATTAATCATACTGGGAAATGTCATGATTTTTGTGTAAGAAAAAGGCATCTGATTCTTAGGATTATTGCATTCTCACTAGTTGATATCCTGAAACAGAGAGATGACACCGATTTTGTTTTTTCCCCCACCTTGCAGATAATCTCTGGAATGCCTATTCAGAAAAAGGATCAATAGTTGAGAAAAAAGATCAGGCATCAGTTGCTGGATCAGAAGAATCAAAAATGGGTGGAATTCCTTATGTTTTTACAGACATCACAACCTACTTCACAATGCTTGTAGGGATTTATTTCCCATCTGTGACAGGTAGGCACAACTATTTTTCTTGCATGAGGATGTGTACTTATATCTGGGAAAAAAAATTTCATGTGCAATTTTTTCATTTTCACCAATCTTATAGGTGACTTATGCTTTTGCAAATTTCTGTGTCTGAGGTTATGTACCTAAAACCTTCTGGTGCTAGGAAGACAGGTCATGGCTGATGACTTTTGGAGGTTATAGGACTTAAACAAGAAATCTGTTTAAGGGCCATTTCTATGTCTGCAAACAAAGCAAAACCCTCATGTGTTACTAAATGTTTATTCAAAATAAGGAGCCTTTATAACACTTCAATCTTCAAAGGCTTGAGAGAAAAGTTTAATATTAAAATGATTCTTCCAGTGTCCAAGCTGCCTGGTTAACTGCCTGAGATTTGTTTGCATGTCCAATATTTTGCCACATTAACTGTGTAGTCTTTTTTGTCAAGCCTAGACTAGTTGTATTTAATTTTCCTCAGCTCGTGCTTGAATAAAAAAAAAACAGACATGTTTTTCTTCTAAAGTCCCAGCTGAAGTAATTGTAATATCAAGTAACAGAATAGAACTCCAATAAGAAGTTGCAGCACTGTTTGCTAGTTTATTATGAAGTGGAATTATCCCTTTGTATTCACTGTTTGAACCCCACTGCTCCCATTTCTTTACTTCAGACTCTTACCAACATTTCATCACATCTGAACCCATATTATTGTTTTATTCCATGGAGTTTGACAATGTTTTTGCACTGGAACATCTTGACATTAGCTTCCATATTTTTGCTTCCAGTGGTCAGGTCAATTCTAGAAGAGATGGCAGAATTAGTTATTGTATAAGTTTCTTTCCCTCCTTTCACTGTATATGCTACAAAATAATTCTGTTCTCATTTTAGATTCACATGCATGCATACATGTGATTTTTCTAACCATTCTTTTTCTTGCCTGCTCCTTTCTTTTTTGCTTCTGAGGTTTTATTTGTTAGTTTATTGACTTGCTTACTTATATTTGCTTGTTATTATCATGGTCTGTTTAGTAGAAAGTTAGTGCATTAAGTCATACTGGCTAAAATTGCTAAGTCCCTATTAATTTATACATCCATCCCTAGTAGCAAAATTGCTACTCCTTGTATTTCTTCATTTCAAGAACGATTCTGAGGTAATGCTTGAAAAATATTTGTTTTAATCTGTCTTTTTACTGACCTTTATAGGATTTGCTTGCTCAAGTAGGTAGTAACACAGATTTCTGAATCAAATGAAGGTATAAATTGAGAATTTGTGCAGGATTATAATATGCTTCTGTAGCCTGTTTCATTCTCCAATCTTCGAGTTAAATTTGGCTTAAAATTAGATGTTCTTGTTTTCTTAGTTACTACCATGGAGTTATTATTTATTGTTTTTATGACATAAATTTTGTCTCCTTTTAAGGTATTATGGCAGGTTCAAATAGATCTGGAGATCTAAAGGATGCTCAGAAATCTATTCCTACGGGAACAATTTTGGCTATTTCAACTACATCTTTTATTTGTATCCTTTATACTGTGACTTTTTTCTTAGTCTACGTTTTCTTGATTCTGTAGGTATAACAGGTTTTTCACTGGAAAATCATTAGCGTTTCCTGAGTAGGAAATGAATGAAATCTAGACTGAAAAGAAATATTTTATATTTGTCTAAAATACCAGTATTATTTTTTATATATATAGATATATAATTAAAATATTAATTTTATATATATATAAAATTAATATTTTAATTATATATCTATATATATAAACTATGTCAAATTTTATTAACAAATATAGATATATTCTACTAGTGCTTCAAATTCCAATATGTAATTGATTGTTTTAATCAAGTGATCTGAAGGTTTTTAGCATTAGGCTTCATTTGGCAGATTGTTGTCATACTCAGTATAACTAGATCTTAAACCAAACAACCAGTAATAGTAGTTGTTGGTCCTTCAAAACCTAGAGTACACAAGTACTTGCTTATTTGTATGAGAAAATGCCCGTTATATTGCATGATATATGAGCTGGCTACTTCCAATACTTCACAAATCACTGTGAAATACAGTAATAAAGAACATAAACTAAAAAATCATAGCAGGGAAGAACTAAAAAAAACCAAACGAAAAAGCAGCCAGGAAACACACACACATGCTGCATTGTCATGGACATTTTCATTTCATACGTCGGTGAAAAAAGGTTGGGTTTCCTCTATGTGATTTTTTAGAGAGTAATCTTCCTTCAGTCTCGGTAACAGATCTCTCCTGTATAGTGTTATTTGGCGCCTGTATAGAAGGTGTAATATTAAGAGATAAGTAAGTAATATTCAGCTTCTAATATTACATGCAGTATATGTAATCATATGTTATATTAATAGGATTTATTAATGGCTCTTGTGTGAAATATCTATGTGGTATAAATTTATTTTGCTTAGTTTAAAACTGGAGGGAAAGTGTGTCTGTTAAACTGAGATTGCTGCAAAAACTGGTCAGGTTATTAGACTGTATGCCTTCAAGAAGCAGAATCAGAATCTAAGATAAATGTTTGAAGTTGAACCACCCTAATGAAATGTTCTTGATGAAGAAAATCCTAATTAGTATTTGCAGAGCTGATGGATGGGGATAAGGGGATATTTTTTTGAGAGAAGTAACAGGTTTTTGAGGAGCAAATTTAAAAATATGACAGTTACATGACAAGGGGAGTTTGTAAGACGACTGCCATGCACCATCAGACCCACTATTTTCACTAGACATATGGCTGGTTTTTGTTTTAAAATCTCAGTTGTATATCAGGAGTCATGTCTATTTTCAACCATGTAATTGCCTGACAAATTTAAGGCATAATATGAAGAATGAAGGGAATAAATGTGATGGACATGAGTATGAAGAGAATCTCCATATTTTGATCAATTTCTCCATTAGGAGAAGCTGGTTAACATGAAACTGTTGTCAGGTTTCACAGTTGTTTTCTTGCTGGTGTCTGGTTCTCTTTTCTACTGAGGCTCATGTTTGCTTATGGTGATAAAACAGTGTCATTGGGGTATTGTTTAAAAGGTGGTGAAGTTGATGCTGAGACAACTTATTTCATAAGACTAGAAGAAAAACCATAAGTTAAAAGCTGGATTCTAATCAAACTAATACAAGAAGCAGCAGGGGATCCATGAAAGGCTTTTGACACTCTCTCACAGCATTCTCATAGGCAAACTCAAGAACTGTGGACAGTGAGGTGGATTGAGAAGCGGCTGACTGGCAAATCCCTGAGGGTCATGATCAGTGGCAGAGTCTAGTTGGACACCTGTAACTAGTGGTGCCCCCTAGGGTTCTGTATTGGACCAGTGGTATGCCCTTTTGGCCAAGACCAGTGTAATCCTGTGGGAATAAATCATGCACACTCCATTTTCTTCATGCTGAAAAAGCCATTTCTTTGTTCACATAACTCCTTTTTATACAGTGTAACAGACCTCGTGTGTGACTCCAATTGGTTAGTCGTATTGCCGGCCAGGGATCTATGTACAAATCACAAATGGGATGGGACTGCTAAGGAACGTGTCTCAAGCTGTTTTATATTCCAGCATCAGTCTTGTTACATGGTTATGACAATGGGAAAATGCCAGCAGTTCACATCCCAGACTAAAAACTTAATGTTACAACTTACTTTAAAAGTTTTTTGACCAATCACACAAAGCAAAAGCATATTGACAGTAGTTCTATCCAACCACTATAAGCACACATACCTTCGGTTAAAACAATGCTTGCTTATTTCAAATGCAATACCTGTTTGTAAGTCTTAAAACACAATGCACAGAGCTCCATTACTAAGCTTAGAACTTCCTAATATCTTGCTAGGTATACTTTCCTACAGCTTAGGGAGTTACTCTATCCAACTGTTAATACACAGACCATTGTTCTATTTGTCCGTATGTTTCTACTTCTCAAATGATTTTTCTGTCGACAAATCTTATGCTTAGCTCTAATCACAGTTCTGCTGTCTCTGAGGCCTGTCTTTTGCAGCTTTCCCAAATCCCTCTGATTTTAAGGATTCCCACAAGTAGCCTTCTTGCCAATTACTTTATTGGTTAGTAACAAGTTGTTATCCTGTATTGACTGGTCACTGAAACCCCCAGTGTGTACATGCAGGAAACTCTGCTTTTGAGAGATAGTTTCCATTTTTCTATCTAACGGTGTAAAAACAGTTTATACAGGTGCTAGCTGTTTTTTGCAGAGGAATAGATTGTTATGTTAACAAACTACTCACACCAGGATTGCTTTCACATGGGAATTTGTAAAGTGCTACCTTGACAAGGCCAGCCACTGATTCCAGGAGAGCAGTCCTGATGTTATGAGGCATTCCTTTTATGATTTTTCTACCTTACTGCAACATAATCCTGGTTTGTGTTAGGAGGAACAGCACTGCCAGTAGGTCCAGGGAGATCATTCTGCCCCTCTACTCAGCCCTGGTGAGACTGCATTTGGTCTGCTGTGTCCATTTCTGGGCTCCTTAGTACATGAGGGACATGGAGCTTCTGGAGGTCCAGTGGAGGGGTATGAAGATGATAAAGGGATTGGAGCATCCTTCTTATGAGGAAAAGCTGAGGGAACTGGGCCTGTTCAGCCTTAAGAAGAGACAACTAAGAGAGGACCTCATCAATGTATTTAAGTAACTAAAGGAGGGGTCCTAAGAAGATGGACCTGGGCTCTTGTTAGTGGTGCCAACCAACAGTACAAGAAGCAATGGGCAGAAACTGATGCACAGGAAGTTCCACATGAATATGAGGAAGAACTTCTTTACTGTACAAGTGATTGTGCACTGGAACAGATTGCCCAGAGAGGTTTTGGAGTTTCCGCCACTGGAGATATTCAGGAAATGTCTGGACACAATCCTGTGCATGGTACTCTGTTTGACCAAGGAGGTTGGATCAGATGACCCACTGTGGTTCCTTCCAACATTACTCATTCTGTGATTTTTACTTTGAAGTGATATTGCTGCATCAGTGAAAATATCTGTTAATTTTTTCTTCATCATAAATATAAAAGCCAAATCAAACTGCCTAGGAAATAGTAAATGAATTCTGAAATAAGAAATTAAAGCAGAGCTAAACTTATATTTTTGAAATTTACAAGGCAAGGGGGGTGTGAGGGAATTTTGTAAGCTCTTAACTATCGTTAGAGCAGATTTCATTGTAGCAAGAACCTCGAGTCCATGAACTTTCATTTACATTGCTGCCAGTTCTTATTTGGCTGAAATTCAGCTGAACAGTAAAGTGTGTGGATTTTCAGTCTGGTCTAAAAACTGGGTTCTGAGGCTTTTTTCATTATGATGGTCATATCTGCAATGGGAAAAAGTAAGTTGTACATTCTTCTGTTTCTTGCATCTCTTGAAGTTACTCCTATCCTGTGTTATTTGAAAAATAGGCATTAGAATTTGAATTAAGAATAAATATACAGTTATAGAAATCTTGCTATAGAAGCACAATATGGGTTTTATCCTATAATTTTGAGAAGTGTGATCTACCTTTTTTTTTTTCATCTGCTGAAAATAGTACGTAGTTGTACATCCCAGCTTGGGCATAAGCAAGCATTTGAACACTGGCGTTTTATATTCACTTCATTGCTGTGTTTCTTGACCCTATTTTAAAAGAAGGTCTGAAAAGACAAAAAAACATTTAATTTTCCTTAGTTTTTCTCTTCTCTTATTTCTGTAGACTTTTCCTTTTATTTAGAAAAAACTGAACACATTAGGAAAAAATAATGGTGGTATCACAGTAGAGATAGCCTTAAAATTAATTTTGGCTTCTTACTAACAACAGTAAGATGAACTATAAGAACCTTACTTGCTTTTAAAACAAAACTGCCAGTTTGAAGGAGGGGGTAGGGTGAAATAACTTATTTGTAGTTTATTCAAGTCATGCCTAAATTAACATAAAGTTAGGTATCTTGAAAAAAAAGTGGAGGTGGTATTGGATGGGACACTGAGGAATGTAATGAAACATCTCTTCCTGACTTCTACCCACTTGTTTCCTCTAGTAAATTAAAAATTGCATCAGGTTGCACAACAGCCAGAAGATGTGCAAAACTCAAAATGGCTGTGTCTGGTAATTTTTCTATTTGCTTACTTTATGTCAGTGTCACATTTTTAAAAGGAAAGGCTAATACTTTTTGTGAATCTCCTGCTTATGCCCCAGGGTATACTTGTATATATAGTGGAACAGATTTCCGCAAATTAGTTCCTAGCTCTCACAGAGATCTGTAAGATACAAATGTACATACTCCTGCTATTGTTTTAATGCAGAAACATTTGCCAAGATATCTGATAATTGCTGCATATGTGCTTAGAGGCAGCACTTAATGTGATTATAATGTCTTCTTTAAAACAGCACAATAAAGAGAGATTGCTTGGTTGGGAAATCCTATAGTGCATACTGTAACACAGTGTTTATTGTCAAAAAGTTTTATTGTCCAGAAAGATTGAAATGTGGGTGTTGAAGCTATAGTAAAAGTTATTTTAATGCTTACCGATTCTTTTTTTGTTTTGTTTTAATTATTTTTGTTTCCCTTTTCTATCCTAAGATTTGGAGAAGCAGTTAATGGAAATCTGGTGGTTGGTACACTGGCCTGGCCTTCTCCATGGGTTATTGTGATTGGTTCATTCTTTTCAACATGTGGTGCTGGTCTCCAGAGTCTCACTGGTGCACCCCGGCTATTGCAGGCCATTGCAAGAGATGGCATTGTACCGTTTATTCAAGTGAGATTTTTATTTTCCACGTTCTTACAGTATTTTGAAAAAAAAAAAAAAAATTGACGCATTATTTCTGCTGTTCCTGTAGAATGTGAAGAAAAGATTTGGAGCTCAGTTCTATTTGTGTACAATAACAGATCAGGCTATTGCAGGACAAAGTTTGAGCTTCAATATTTTTGTGCAGTGCAATTTAATTATATTTGATTTTGCACATAAAAGTTAGTGGTTCCAAACTGAGAATATAGTATTCTATAAATGGAAATAAATGAACTAAGAAGCAACTCATAACTGAACTTCTAGACTCTAGGCTGTTTTTACTACTTGCATTTGTGAACAGAGTTATTTAATCTCACTATGGAACTGCATAAAACTTCTCATATTACAGAGATGAAATTCTAATTTTTATTCATTTTTGTAAGGTCAATTAAGTCAGTAAAAATGTAACAATAGAATTCTATCCCATGACTCCAAATATGAGATTTGTTCCAAGATCTCTGTGCATGTTTTAAGAAGAAATAAATCGGATTTTTCTCAAAGTAAGGGAGCTGGCAAACAGAAGAGAGAATTCTTGTTAGGCTCCTTCTGCAAAAAGTAGAAAACTACACTTGAGTTAAAAATAAGTAAATAAAACTCCGAAAGATTATACTGTCTGGAGAGTAAAGCTGCGATCTGCATGATGAAGTCTGGAGTTTGAAAGCTTACCTCAAGACTTGCAAGACTATCTGTAACAGGAAATAAATACACTAAGTATGCTAAGGTGGAGGGACTGAGTAGTGGTGGAGTTTGACTTGTCAATGGAAAGGGGCTATAATGCAGTAAGTTGTCAGTTCTGGGTAGTATAGAGAAAAAGAAACAAGAAAGATTTACTTTTGCCTGAAGCAAAAATTTGGTAGAGAGAAGGTGACATGATTACACGTCCTGAGAGTTAGACTTGAAAGGAATGAAGAATCAAAAGGAAAGATTTGTGGTTCGGGAAGTGAGAGAAAGAGAATTGAAGCAGTATATTTAGAGAGGGATTTAACACTTGAGGATGCACTTGCTGTTTCGGAGAGATATGGTCACTGCATGAACAATCAAGGAAATACAAGGACATTATTATAGAAGCAAGACTATGACATATTTAAGAAAAAACCCAAAAGACTTGAGACATGAGTAGAAAAAAAAAGGGGATTTTAATACAATAGTAGGAAAATTGATGGAGGACAGGAAGCTAAAAGAAGAGGTGTCGTAGGTTAAGAAAGAAGTGAGTTTTTTGGGAGGTTGTGGTCAAACCAATCAGTGCTTAGATTTGAATATTGGCACCTAGTTTAGCCACTGAAAATCTAGACCGCCCCTGAGAACACAGGGGGTTAAAAGAGCAGAGAACTTCCAGGAACTCTCTTAGTCCTGGTCAGTGAAAAAGGTCAGCCCTCCCCTGCCCAGCTGGGGCTGGGCGGGGGAGGGGAAGCCATGTGGCCGGGTGAGGTAGGCTGGAGCCTTGGGCAGAGGAGGGGGGTGAAAGCTTTGCAAGATAGAAGGGTAGAAGAGCCCTGAGCGGCACTGGGCCCCCGCTATTCCCCGTGAGAGAGATAAGAGAGAGAGAGCGCCAGTGCCTGTGCTACATTAAGATTTAATATCGTGCTGGCAGCACGGTTGGCCAGAAGTGGGCGATGCGGTGCTGAGAACTCGCCGCCATGGGAATTCTGGGCAGACAGAGGTGAAGATTTTAACCCCTTTCTAAAATAATAAAAACCTTACAAATACTGATCCTCCTGAATCTGAATGAGGAGAGAGAGAAATGAAGCCGGAGGAAATGGGCAAGTGTAATGAAATTTAGTGCAAGTAAAAATGTCTGCAGAGGTGAAAAGAATCCTAAGTGAGAAGAGATGATGGAGTGGCCTCGAGCTGGACTCTTCTTATACAGCCATGGACAGACCCATGTTTTTCCTGTGACACAGAGACTGCATTTAGGGGGAGGCAATGCCTTGAAGTCAAGAGAGTGTGGTGAAGCAGTGGCGTGAACAGAGATGGCTGAGGAGGGTGTGGAATGCCCTCTGTCTTCAGTGAAGAAACAAATCTCTGTTCATGAGGCATCTCGGCCCCAGGGGGTAAATTTGGGGAGGACTGGTGTCCCAAAACTAAAAGACTGCTACCTTTTTAGAACTGGGCAGGGCATCCTTAGAAGAACCCTAAAAGCAGTCCTGGTCCATGTTCAGTGGTGAGAGCACTGGACATGGAGGGAAGAAGTTACAAAGGCAGATGTTCTCTGGGCAGTGCCACAAGTGACATGGAAACACAAAAAGTTTCAATTGTGTTTCTAAGGGAAGCCTATGGTGTAAGGGGAGGACTCCTCTCTCCCTGATAAACTTAAGAGTTGACTATTTAAAGAGTAGTGATAGACTGAAAATTGATTATCTGAGAGGTAGTAACAGAGTAGAAATCTGAAATGTTATTTCATGCTGTAGAGGAAATGGAGACAAGAAGAAGAATGTATTTAAAAAGTTTTCATTTTTAGTTCTGTGTCTGTTCCTTTTAAAATATTATAGTTAATAAAGTTTTTTTCTTTATTCCTAAGTTAGACCCTGCTTTGCTCTGTTCCTAATCACATCTCACAACAACCACTAAAAAAAGTATATTTTCATAAAAGCACTGGCATTGTGCCAGCCTCAAACCATGACAAGAGGACAGCATGGAGAATGAATGAGGTCTTAATTTCTGTATTTGAATGGAGGAATATGGAGGAGAATAAATATCACTGGAACCTCAGGCATTTTGCCATCTATCACCAGTATGACTGTATAGAATTCTCCACAAAGGAAATTACCACATGCAAAATGTTTTTTGGTAGGGCTCTGTGCAGAATCATAGTCTAATTTCTCTTTAAGGGTCAATATTATGTTGGTAAGTACTGAATTGGCACCTATTTTCTATATTACAAAAAGTACTGGCCTAAACTATATTAGCCTTTTACTAGGCATAAATCTTTAATGCATAAGGTTTTTAATTTTCTTAAGAATATTTCAATAAGAGCTGCCATAGGACTTCACTGTTATGTAGTCATTGCTTATTTTAGTAAGCATATTTCATATTGAAAATGTGTGTATTGTAATTTTAATTTTGACTTTTCATAGGATAGATTGCATAATTTTCCTTTGTAACTAATAACTGCTTTTAGTTCGAGTTAGAAATAAGTTAGTTCATGATTTGCACCATAGCTTTATTACTGTATAATAAACAGTTTTCCCAAATCTTACTGTGAATTTGAATTGAACTAGATATTTGGTCATGGAAAAGCAAATGGAGAACCAACTTGGGCTCTGCTCCTCACTGTTGGTATTTGTGAAATAGGAATTTTGATAGCCTCATTGGACAGTGTAGCACCGATTCTTTCAATGTAAGTATGGGTGTGATGTTTTATGTTCTTAAATTAAATAGCATTTTCTTTTAAAATTAACTAGGTAATTATTTTTCTTTTTTAAATAATACATGTTAGACTTTGTTTTCTATCAAATTATATTCCTATTTTATCCTGGAGATAATATGAAACAACAAAGTCTTTTGGCTGAACTAAATTCTAGGCACAAAGAAGTTTTTCCATGACAGAAGTCTGGAATGCTAATAAAAATATGTCCAACTTTTAAAAAACTTGGATTTTAAAGTAATAATTACTGTTATTTTAGGTCAAGTGCACCTAAAGAGACAGACAAAATTCAGTCTTTTAGAATATGAATATAATTTTTTATTTTGTCCAGAACATGATACCATCTGAGCTACTATAGAAAAAGAAAAAAAATTAACTCTGTCCCAGCCAAAAATGATACACTATGATTGTCAGTTATTTGCCACGTTTGTCTCCAAAATACATGTTTGAGGCTCTATATTGTGATAATACTATATTTTGAAGCCTAATATTCTGTAAGCAATCTTAATGTGTGTCTTGTGTTGTCTTGGCCACTGTGAACATAGCATACAGAAAACTGTATGCTAGTATACAGGAAACTGGACACCTTCCTTCCCTTTTCTGGATTGTGTTTATATTTTAATGCACATCTGTCTAGTACATTTCTCATTAGAAAATGCTCTTCCTTTCTTAACAGGTTTTTCCTTATGTGCTATATGTTTGTAAATCTGGCTTGTGCAGTTCAGACGCTTTTGCGAACTCCCAACTGGAGACCTCGTTTCAAGTATTACCACTGGTAGGGAATATTTCTTCATTCAGAAGAGTTAAAACTAACTATAGAGCCCTAAATTGTTAATTTTATTGCAATAATAAAGCAAAATCTCCTTTCTGACTTAAATGAGTTAAGATTCATGTACTCAATAAGAGCATAATTTGTTTTTATGTTTTTAGAATAGCGCCATACTAATAACAGTGATCATGAAAACATGTGGCTAATACAGATGGTTTGGAAAAGAGTTGCAGGATGACATTTTTTTCTGCTTAGAAGCCAAGAGATCTTCTGTAGGAAAATGAGGATGAAAAACCATGAAATCTGCCTTGTATATACTTAAGAAGAACTGGTAAAAGTGTTCAGGAAGGTTAGGACAATTTTCATTTTGGTTATGCAAAAAAAACCCTAAAACTTCTCAGAAAAAAAGTCTCATTCAGTATACATCATTTGGTTCACTTATTATGTGATGACTGGTTTTAAAATATGCTTTGGACATTGCATTTGATAACTGAAGTAAACCCTTTAAAAAGTGAGTAGTAACACAGAAAGTGAAAGTGTGGTTTTTTGATTTAATCTTTTTTTGATGGGTTAAGAGTTTAAACATCTCAAACTACGATTGGGAAACTTCTTGATTTTTTTCTAACTGTATGTGAAAAGTACATAACTTAATTAAAAATTATTCTATTGAGAAATTTTACTGCTGAAATAGCCTTAAATACTAGAGCATTTAGTAGATAAGCCAGCGTGATTCTAGGATGTAAGAGTTACTTATGATTATTCGTTTTAAAGAGTTGAGTGAAAACGAAATGTTGCAGTTTTAGCTTTGAAAAAACTTGTTGAATCTGCTCTGTAGTTGCATACTAGTTTGACAACTAACCCTCCAAATATATACATTTGGCAACAATTCATTTTTATATTTTTCTCAGAGACATCAGTGAGCAGCTGACTCACTGTGTGTACTTCTAGCCAAAGCAGGTGTTGGAATGTTCAGCAAGAATTGGGATGACATTTTCTTTTCTGAGTGAAAGTAGAGTATTAGATTAATTCAGGCATGAAAGAGCAGCTGTTGTTCTTTTATACAAACTACAAGACTGATGTCAGAACTTGTAGAAAGCATTCCCTTAGTTTAAAATTGAACTCAGTGCACTATACCAAACTAAAGGTACCAAACCAAAGTTAATTATATTTACACCCCATCAATATAGTCAAAGTTAGCTCTAATTTGGAAATTGGGTGAAAACTAATTTGGGAGGTTGTATATGACTAAAAGTATACACAAAACTGTCCATTTTGAGATAATCTAAATTTGATAAATGTAGGCAAACAAGGCATATAGGCTTAAGTTTGGAAATGCTTTTGTAATTTTTTCAGTTTACATTCATTCTTTTTTGTAATATTTAGAAGATTGTTTTCTGAATTCTATTGACTTGTGTTATTGGCCAAGAGACAGACCACAACAGAAGTGAAGAATAGAATTGATGAGTCAAATTGAATTTAAACTAACCAACTATTTTTGCTGGAAGTAACAAAGTTGTTTTTTACCGCTTGAATTTTTTAGCTTAAATTCAAATCAACAGTAGTATGTGATAATGTGTTTTGAAACTGAGCTTACTTGGAGGTACTGAAGTTTCAATACTGTATATACTACAAATGTAGTAAATCTGTTGTTCTATCTAATTTAGATGCATTATTTATGTCACACAAAGGGTCTGAATGCAATTTTTTCATATAAGCTAAAATTGGAACAATGTATTTTTTATTTTATAATAGTTAAAAAATAGCCTTTGAAGGTGAAAGGCCTTTCTGGAAGTTAACTTAAATATAAGAAATTAACTTTGTAGAATATTTGCATGCCTATTTAAAAAATGGAAAAAATGATTTCTTTTAGGACTCTTTCATTCCTGGGGATGAGTTTATGTCTTGCCTTGATGTTCATTTGCTCTTGGTACTATGCTCTGATTGGCATGCTAATGGCAGGGTGTATATACAAATACATAGAATATAGAGGGTAAGACCATATATCTTATTTATTCTATATTTAATATCTTTACCATTCAGCAAAAAGCTCTTTTGTGTAAAATAGATACAATTGAAGTAATAAAGCTCAGAGTATTCTTTGAAACAAGGTAAGATCCAGTCTCTCTTAAGTGTTGTAAGTTTTCTGATTTGAATTTCTCTCGAAGATCTGTTACATAGTTTTCATCAGCAAGAACTGACAGAAATAAGAACAAGTAAGTCTGGGAAACTCTCGCTGGAGAAGAGATGATGGTGTAAACTTTTGGTACTTCAGGAACATTACCGTTCAATATCAAGCAGCAACTATTAAAAAATGTAAATTATTATTACCTTGTGCAGAAGTTCAAACTCATATTTTTGTGTATGTGGATTTGATTATTTTCTAGAATTAATCTTTAAATTGCACCATACTTTGCACTGTAGGCATTTGTTAAAAGAGATAGTCATGCCTGTAGGACATGGTGAGCAACTATGAGTCTTAAAGTGCATGCTGTGTTCATAAAAAAACTCCAAAAAAAAACCAAACAAAAAAAACCCCACCAAAAACAAACAAACCAGCAAAGACCCCAACTAAACAACATATAGAAACACTACAGGTAATTGTGCAGGTAATTATGATCACTAAAGGTGCATGCTGTCCCTTTCTAAGGATAGATACCCTATGCTGAAAGAAAATAGTAATATCTTGGAGCAGGAAATTGAAGCTAGGCCACTGTTTTGATGAGTGATTAAGAAAAGCTCTTAAGTGGATCAGTTGGTATAAACTGTTCCACCCTGTGGATCCTCCATCTTTTAATATCTCCATTTCCAGATTAGATGCTTTCCTGGATTATAACATCTCCATTTACTGGGCTAATGATAAGGAAATTAATTTCCTGATTTTAGTGAGGAAGTCAGATCAGATGGTAACAGTTCTGCATTCATGTGTATATATATATTTATATATACATAGGTTCATACATAAAATTATGCATAATTTCAAATTTATATATAAGTTCTACTAATGTTGGCACATGCGAGGACATTTGCTTTGTTGAAGGAGATGCTTTAATAGAGGTAGCTTAGTTCAGAGGAAATTAATGAGTGAAAATCAGAGGGAGGGAGGGTGGACCCCTTGCTATTATAGAATCTATTTTCCTGACCACTTTCAATCATCAATATTCTATATTGGAATTAAAAGGACTGGAAAATGTAGGGAGACTGAAAACGGTCAGGAAAATGGATGGAGCTTTAGGCTTTTTGGGAGAGAAGCTGGGAAGGAAAGAAAGTGGAGAAGCTTATAGTGGTGGTGTTGAGGGTGAGACAGGTTATACTAATCTATGTGAAGTCAAGTTTCACTTACTAATTTTGCTGCTTTACAATAATTCCTTTTAAGTATCCTTCTCTTATTTATTCTAGTGCTAAAAAGCAACTTAAGTAGCTCTCACGATTACAAAAATGCTTCTGAAGTATGAACAAAATAGACCATAGTAAATATTTATAAATGTGGAAAAAATTACCTTGAAGAGGTCTGGAACTGCTTCACCTTGGTTAGTCTTCAATCTTGATTTAAGTCTACAAGACAAGGTTTTTTCATGCATTCATGCAAAAAGAAAGTGATAATTTTTATATCCATTTATCCCCCACATGAGAAAAAGTACTTGATTTGTATAAATAAATGGGACCCTATTAATTGAACTCTTTTGTATCCTGAAGAGCGGAAAAAGAATGGGGCGATGGAATCCGAGGACTGTCTCTTAATGCAGCTCGCTATGCTTTGCTTCGTGTTGAAGATGGTCCTCCTCACACCAAGAATTGGAGGTAGAGTCCTATGTTTTCCAGAGTTACTTAATTCTTGAAATACAGAAATATATTGGAATACTGCTGGTAAAGCAGTGAAGTAAAGATAAAGTGAGATTCACCTTTAAAATAATGTTTTAACTTTGGCATGGCAATGATGTCATTGCAATACTACTATTTTACTGAAACTAAATGTGACTTGTGGTCATCAACTTTGTGGCAAACTAACTTGAACTTAAATCCATATAATGTTGACATGATTTTCAAAAGTGCAGAAGATTGTAATGTTTGATTATTTATAGATTTTTCAGATTCAAAGAAACAGTTACCCTTGAATCTCACTTTGTCTACAGAAGAAACACTGCAATTCCATAAGTGCGATTTTTTTTGTTTGTGTATATGTTCCCTCTGAAATACATTGTACAAATGTACAGAGGACCCTTTTTTTGTTTAAATTCTTTTTTGTGGTAGTCTTTTTATATAGCTTTATTCAATAGTAGCACTTTCTAAATTGCTTAGATGCCATTAAAACAAAATCTCGCATTTTACTGTAATGGAGTTAGATCTCCACTACTATTTTTGCAGTATGTTTTTTTCACTTGTTAAATTTAATTTTCCTCAAAGCCAACTTTAAAAGTTACTTAACATTTAAAAATGAAGGATGTTTTCATATTGTCACTTCTGATTAATGTAGTGTGATACTTTCATTCTAGTCACTGCTCAGTGATAAGTATCATGGGGTGCATGCACATGCAGTGTTCCATTGTCCTTCAGTATAATGGCATTACTTTACCATTTTTCCTGGGGCTGATGAACTTGGTATCTCAGAGATACCAATGTAATGTAGCATTGACAATCCTATTAAATATTTGACTGCTTCAGTTCCAAATGAGGTATCTTTCTATTGTGTCAGTATATTTGCTAGAACTGAATGATCTTGTTACATCTTAAACTATGCTAATTTTGAGGTAGGAAGTATGATCCAACTTGTCATCAGTCTTTTGAAATTGTAGCAATGACAGGAAAAGTATAAAATGTTGATTTGGGAAAAGTAAGTAGATTGAATATTGATTAAGGAAATAAGAGTGCATCCTCATCTAGTATGCAGTTGAAACTGAACTTTGGGTACTCTTGGTATGATTAAGGGGTTGACTGTCCTTTTTGTAAGGACCTACGCAGGTAGAGGAGTGGGTCATTTGAGAACATTGTGGATAACTGCAAGTTATCCTTCTATCCTTACCTGAATATGCCTGTGCCTGGTACAGGCATATTCAGAGCAGTGATACAAGACCAGGAAGCTGCTTTGGTAAAAAGAATCTGTGGTTCCCAGTAGCTAGTAATCCAGCAGTGTGTCTTGGCAATGGCATGCTGGACAGGAGGACAAATAGTACATTGAGAAGTAAATATATTGGGAGATATTTATTTTTGTTTAGCACTCATTAGAATACATTTTAAAATATTTCTTCCATGTTTATGTACCATGATGTAGGAATGACAAACTCGAGTAGATACGACCGCAGATGATGGTTGGAGCACAGGGGCATCTCTCCTGTAGGGAGGGGCTGAGTGGCTATGCTTATTCAGCTTGTGGGAGGCTGAAGAGGAGCCTACAAGTTGTTGTAACTAACTTATAAACATGTGAAACCTAAAAGAAGGTTACTAAGAAGATGGAGTCAGATTTCTTACAGCAGATTAGGATAGGAGAATAAGAGAACATGATAAAATAAATAAGTACTGAAGAGGTGACCCAGAGGTTTGTTTCTAGAGGTTTTCCGAATCTAACTGAATGCAGCAGTAAACAACGTTCAGTGTTTAGTCATTTCAAGCAGCAGGTTGCACCAGATGACACTGGAAGAGTGATTTTATAATTTTCTAGGGGAAACTGGTGTTTAAAGGAGCTTTTCAAAATGACATTATGATGATTTATGTATTCTGTACATGAACTTTTGTTTGTAATTGCAAATTATGGCTTATCTACTTAGGAGTTGGCTTTTTTTAAATTGAATTAAGCAATTAATCTGCATTTTATTAAATTTTCATTTTAATTTTCCAGTTCTTCCTAATGAATATGTGTGTGTGCACTAAACTTCTTTTCCCTTTGTTTGGCAGACCTCAACTTCTGGTCTTGTTAAACTTGGATAATGAGCAGACAGTCAAACACCCTAGGTTGCTTTCTTTTACCTCTCAGTTGAAGGCTGGTAAAGGACTGACTATTGTGGGTTCTGTGCTTCAGGAAATCTACTTAGATAAATGTACAAAAACTCAGAAAGCTGAAGAGGTATGTAAAAGAGAGAAAGAGAGCTTGCAAATACTTTTAGTTTACATTAGTATTTAAATGTTGAATCTGGATAGCTCATATATTTAATGAGAACAGACTGTTGTAAAGTGTTGAATAAAACATCTGTTTTTGCTTTCAGCACTATCAGTGATTATATAAAAAGAATGGATTGGTGTATGTAGCAAAATGTTCTATAAAATGTTCTAATAGGATGAGGCAACACTGATACTTTCTAGCTTTTTCTTTAATATTGAGAGTCCTGGGCTTACAATCAAATTACATAAAAAAAAAAAAAAAAATTAACACCCCCCCTGCCAAAAAAAAAACAAACCAAGAAACCAAACCCCCCCTACAAAAAACCCCCCAAACAACAACAACAAAAAAAACAGAACAAAAAAAAACCACAAAAAAACCACAAAGAAAAAAAAACCAAAACCCCACACCAAAACCCAGCAAGCTTTAACAAATTACCTTATAAAGAAAACAGCATATATTTGACAAAAAAATTAACATTTAACTAACAAATGCAAATATTTGGCATAATATCATCCTCATGATGTGATTTTCTAAATACTTCTAGAAATACATATGAGAATTAGCAGTACTCTTTGCCAGAAAACTGTGAACTGGATCCTTCTTGGGATCCTTTATTTTATTTTTCTATTTATACCATATCTCCAGAAAAAGTAGGATAGGTGGGAAAAAACAGTAAGTTGTCATATAATTTAAAATTATATCCAACTATACCTACAAACACAAGTAAATTTAGTTTCAATTCAATTTCTTTAATAATAATACTTGTATTTAGTTGCCTATGCAAACTCTCCTAGTCCTATCTTTATAGAGTAGGGAAACATTTGGAGAAAGTATAATGTTTCCTGTACTTTACTGAAATATCCAAAAGCTGGTTTTGATTGCCATTATATCTTCCATATTGGTTAATTTCTGCAGTGTTGCTCAAAAGAGTACCAATTGATATGTCTACTATTTTGATCCAAGTAGCCTTCGAAACTGTGTAAAAACCCCTGTGATTTTTTCAGACCTGGTATCTCTTAAATAGACGTGCACTTAAAATCTAGAAATGGACTAGCTAACATAGCTAACTGCCCATTTCCTCACAGTTTTCCTTTTTCTTCCTCTTGCAATTCAGGCTTATCCATAGTGGTTTCTAAAATAACAAAGTATAAAGATAGATGACCTATTTCGTATCACATGAAAATATTCTAAGAGACCGATTACCTTGAAAACAAGTTGAAAAGTCCAACCATGCTATATTGTGGAAGTAGTTGTTACTAAGCTGTTGCTATCAACATGTATGAGTAGAAAACAAGATGAAGAATACAAAATTAGGCCTATGAAATAAAGCAGGAAAAAACCTTTAAACAGAAATCGTTTACCCACAAGAATTTGAAATGTTATTTGTAGACAGCCTAACTTAGCTGTTTTTCTGAGAGATGGAAAATGAATGAGTTTAAGGGAGGCCTAATCCATGGGTTTTCTGGAAAGTCAGACCTTATGTTAAGATTTAGGCAACTTTTGAAATGGAAATGAAGATGAATTGTAAAAGTTACGGCATCTGGAGGCCTCATTAGTTCTGGAGAAATTAAACTAGAAAGTGTTTGCAGGAGACCTGTAGAAAATAATTTTTTTTTTTCTGTCTGTCATTAAAAATAACCCATCTATTTGAACTGATAAACTCTCACAGATATTATTTGTACAGACATACTTGTTATCTTTGCTAGCAAATTCTCTGAAGACTTGTCTCTGTTACATGGATTTTCTGATGAGAAGCAACAATGAGACAGTGCCTGGCACTCTGTAATTTAATCTGTTCCTGATGATTTCTGACAAATTTTGTTTTTTTGTAAAATACAAAACATTTATGTATTAGTTCTTCCTTCTGAAACATGTTGATCTCTCCCACAAGTCACTGATGATGATGGGGGGTTTTAAAGTTATTTAATCAAAAAATAATAATTGCCAAAGCTCATGTTCCCTGGTCAAGCTTGATACTGGTTTGAATGCTTCTTTTAAATTACCTGGTTATGTGTCTTCATGATTGTCAGTGTTTAAAAAGAGAAGAGTTATTCTGAAATTAAAGGGGTGTGGGATATTTAATCTGGTCAGTTTATCTTGTCATTAATTGGACAGTGCTTCCAATTTTCTCCTGCACATCTGTTTTTCCATGTTGGGAGCTGATAAATAATCAGCTTCTTAATGTCAAAGGTATTTAAGGAAATTTGATAGCCTCTTCTTTTTAAGTACGTGGCATCACTCTTCCAAACTCTTCCAATTCCAAAAGAAATGACTGATCATTCCAACCATATGTTGCTTTGTCAGTCACTGGTTTTGACTTTACCTGAAGCAGTGTTACTTCATGTAGCTTTATCTACTCGTGTCTTATTCATTGTATTTTGGAAGTAAAAGGCTGAATAATTAAAATAATGAAAAAACTGTGTGGTGTCTTTTGGGGTGGATGCAATTTGGGTTCTAGTTTTCATAGAATCATGTTCACTCTTTTGGAATTAGTGATTTCTTCATGTTGGTTATACATTGTTGTTAAAGCTTTGCTATTATTTAATGCTGTTACTCCTTCTGAATTTAATTGTCAGTGTTGATGGTTTGTATTTCCTTATGTGTAATTTTCCTATTGCAGAATGTTAAGGCCTTAATGGGTGTAGAAAAGACTAAAGGATTTTGCCAGATTGTGGTATCTCCTAACTTGAGAGATGGAATATCCTATTTGATTCAGTCAGCTGGTCTAGGAGGGATGAAGCACAACACAGTCCTGATGGCATGGCCACAGTCTTGGAAGCAGACAGAAAATCGTTTCTCATGGAAAAATTTTGTTGGTATGTGTTTATTGACTTTCTCATTTGCATTTCTAATTCAACTGTGTGACTAATGTATTTGCTGTGTGGAGGAAATGTGCTACTGAACATCTGGTGGACAATTGAATCTGTATCTGATTTAATCTGGAGTGGGTTTTCTCAGCCCTCTTCAACCACAGGTTTGCGTTTTCTTCTTCTAAGCAGGTTGGTCACTAAAATCAGTGTCATGGTTTAGGAATGTTGCTTGGCAATTTAGTGCTCCCTATGAGACTTTCCAAATCACATTGCTGCTTGCTGTCCCCCTTCTTCTTCTCCCACCCCCCTTGGGCTGGGTTGGAGAGAGAAATTGGAGGCACAAAAGGTAAAGATCACTGTCATGGTTTAATCACATATTGAGATAAGAAAAATTTACTGGAAACAACAATGATATAAGAAAATGAGCAGTAAGCAACAGTGTTAATAACAGAAAGTATACAAAAGAGAGTGATTCTCATGCAAAAATGTCCACTACAGAGCTTGACCCAACCATAGCCATGCCACTCCAACCACTCCCTCTGGCTCAGAACTGGTGCCACTTGGCCATTCCTTCTGGCTTTGAACCTACCCATGCTTATTCCACCAGAAGAAACCCTTTCTCCTTGGGAGAGACTGCCTTAGCCCTGCCCCTGGCAATGACGTAAGGTGGTATGGAATAACCTCTGGGTCCTAGCCATGCCTGGCTGTTGCAAAAATTAACCGTGTCCTGGCCAGAAGCAAAACATTATCCACCCTATATTTTATACCATTTATGTTGTGCCCAGATCCTACCCGTTCCTATATATATATATGTGTGTGTGTGTGTGTGTATATATATATATATATGTATGTATGTGTGTATGTATATCTATGTGTATATATATACATATAAAAAAACAAGTATCATTTCCACAGTCGATATCCACTGCTCCAAGATGTCTCTTGAGTCCATTTAGTCCATGACTGCAGGTTTTAAGTGTTTTCCAGAGCAGGAGGGCTGGTTGCAAGATGGATCAGGAGCTCAAAACTGATGCATCTGTCGTAGTCCATGCTCACTGTCCATGGTTAAGTCCACTTCTCCATCACAAGCCCATCGGTATGTTGCATCTCTTTTCCGATGACCTAAGATATCATTGGCCCACTGAGCCAGAAATAATTCAGCCTATGTTACCACCTGAGAGACTTCATTCTTGGCTGCCCAATGCACCTGTCCATTGTTGCAATGTTCTTCAATAGCCTGACTTTTGGGTATGTGTGCATCTACATGGCATGCTTTTACAGCCAACTTCTCCACCCAAGCAGCAATGTCTTGCCACAATTCAGCAGCCCAGTTGCTTTACCTCTGTGCTGCCAATAGGTCTTTTTCAGTAGTTGTAGCCATCCCCACAGAACACTGGCTACCATACATGAATCAGTGTACAGCTAGAGCATTGACCATTTTGTTCAGTGATACTTAAAGCCAGCTGGATGCCATTTAGCTCCGCAACGTGATTTGATCCACCTTGTCCCTCAATAGCTTCTGTGACTCACCGCATAGGAGTCCATACAGCAGCCTTCCATTTTCCATGTATCCCTACAATATGACAGGAACTATCAGTAAAGACAGCATAACACTTTTCTTTTTTAGGTAGCTGATTATACTTTTCATTTTGCAGGTAGCTGATTATATGGTGGGGCCTCCTCAGCATGTATCACCTTTTCCTCCTCTGATTTTAGTACAAAATTTTCACTTTTGGTCTGGTTTGTCATGACTTCCAAGATGCCTGTGTAATCAGGGTTTCCTGTTCAAGCTCACTGTGTGATCAGCATGACCCATTTACTTCACATAACATCGGTGGCATGATGTGTGGAAGGGATTTTCCTTTGAACATTCAGCCCAGCAGTGGCAGTCGTGATGCCAGGAGGAGCTGTGCTTTGGTGCTAATCACTTCTGAAGATGCTTGAAGCTCTTTATAATATGCAGTTATAATGCCAGTAGCACTTTTTCAGTAGGGGTGTAACAGGCATCAGATCCTTTGTATGCTAGATTCCTGAACCCTAGGAATCATTGTTGAGTCTCTGCAGGTACTGGGTTTTTTTTGCCAGAAACTCCAGGAAGAACTAATCTTCCCAGGTGCGGTACAGAATACATTTTTCACATCTTGTGCTGTCCTGATTTGCCAAGGGCTACTGCATGAACATTCTTTTGTTTCATTTGTTCAAAAGCCTTTTGTTGTTCAGGACTGCACTTAAAATCATTCTTCTTCTGAGTCATATAATAGAGAGAACTTATGATTTGCCTGTGTTCTGGAATATGCATCTTCCAAAAACCCACACTTCCTAGGAAAGCCTGTGCTTCCTTTCTGCTGGTTGGTGAGAATGTAGCTGCTGTTTTGTTGACCACATCCATGGCAATCAGATGATGTCCCTGTTGCCATTTTATTCCTAAAATTTGAATTCCCTGGGAAGGTCCCTTGACCTTACTTTGCTTTATGACAAAACTGGCCTCCAAGATGATTTGGGTTATCTTCTCGCCTTTCTCAAAAATGTCTGCCGCGTTGCCCCACAAGATGATGTAATCAATGTATTCCAAGTGTTCTGGAGCTTCACCCTTTTCCAGTGCAACCTTGCTTTCTTATAGGAGCAACTCTGTTCTATACTGGCAGAGCATGGAATATCTCCTTTCTAACTTGCTTGAGCTTTTCAAATCTGTCTGCAGTCTTGGACAGCCAAGGCATAGGTCATTAGGAAGGGAAAAAGATGATCTTCATATTGTTGTAGTCAGTTGCCTGAAGCATTGTTTGTTCTCCTTTCATTGGCATCAGTCCCAATGAGTTGGCATACAATGATGGCACACGCTGTACAAATTTCTCCCATGTGGATTGTGTACAATGGACTCATCTGGATCTACAGAGGACTGTTTGTTATTTGAATCCCTATAGATTACCTTCAGCACAGCTAATTCTCACATGTACTGGATACCTTTCTCCATGGTGTTCCACCTGTGTGGGTGCAGTACTAGGTCATCCTTGAGAAAATACCTTTCCTTCATGCTTGACAGGACTTGGCTCCAGAGGCTGTGAGTTTCTGTTTTCTTCCCCATCCCCTTGCCAATGCTGACATCCCAGGTCAGGGATCTCTTCGCTACCATCTAGTTTCCTATCACGGGCAGCAATATCCCAGCATCAGAGCAGCTAAGCCAGTAGGGGCTCACCCGACTGGTGGCTGAAATTTTTTTTGCATATCTCGCAGCTCACCTGGAGATAGGGATTGGGTGATTATCTCTGACCCTGTCTGTTCCTTCTGTTGTGAGGTCTCTCCTTCCTTTTCATCCTTCACTAAGTGAACTGATTTTGTCTTTGATTACTTTTTCCATATAGGGGTGACTGCTACTGGCACAGGTTGTTCCTCTGGTTCAGCTGCAGTTTGAGTGGACACAGTGCCTGTCAGTCTGCCTTCCTCCTCTTCCCTCTGAGACTGCTGTCTAGTATTATGGAATGTCCAGTAAATAGTGGCCAAGGCCCAGAATGTTGCAAAACTTCACACCTCCCTGGAATTGCCACAGCATTTTTCTGTCAAGTATTCTGTCACTTTACCATGGTCCTGCAGTTGTTCAGGAGTGAAGTTCCAAACCACTGGAGCAGAATAATCCTTCAAAAGGTGGCCCATTTTCTGCCACTTGCCATGTTACTCATGATTATACACCCTTGGGACAGATCTCTGAACAAACTCCTAAGAAAACCGTCACTCTAAATGTGGTGTAGACTGAGGAGACCTGGTAGACTTAGCACAAAGAATATGATTTCCTTAACATCCAAATGGAATTCAGAATTCTTTGAATGTAACAGGCTGAAGGGGGTGTAAAAGGCCAGGAAAAGGGGATGAAAATCTGGGGAAAATTATCCTCCCCCATTTCCCCCACAGAGCGTGTATGGTTAGTAAACATGCAACGGTAGTACTCAAGATAAGAGTAGGAGAACAACAGTCAATATATATCCCAAATGATTGTCGTTGTATTTGATGTTATCATGTCATAAACTCACATCCCTCAGTATATCATTGTCATGGTTTGACCCGGAAGTAAGGTTTTTGGGAAGTTATGGTCAAAGCAAAGAAATCCTGATCCCTCTTATATATCATATAATATAATATCATGAGGAGCACATACAGGAATATATGCAAGATTAGGAACCACTCCCATTTGAACAGACCAAGCAACATTGCGACCAGTGGCTCCATACCTAAACCAAAAAATGATTAGATCAAATTTTTTTCCGATCTGCTCTGTGCAGTCTGTTGTTATCTCAACCCATTGTACTTCACCTCAGACACCAAATAAAGATTGTTGTGGCTTAGGGGTCGTACTCCCTAATGTAGTGTTCCCACTGACACACTCCATGCTGCTGCTTGCTCAATTTTCCTTTTCCCCTGAGGCTGGTTTGAGAGGAGAATTGGAGGCACAAAAGGTAAAGATCACAGGTGAAGAACAATTTACTGGAAACAGCAACAATATTAATAGCAAAAAGTGTACAAAAGAGAGAATGATGCATATGCAAAAATGCTCACCTTGAAGCTGCACCTGATCGCAGCTGTGCCACCTCAACCTCTCCCTCAGTCTTGGAACTGGTGTCACCCAACCACTCCCTCCAGCTCAGAACCAGCATCATTCTTACTGGACCAGAAGGAACCCCTTCTCTTTGTAAGATACTCCCCGCACTTTCAGCAATGGCATTAAGTAGTGTAGAGTAGCCTCTGTGTCCTAGCCACACCCCTCTTTGCTATTGCAACAATTAGCCTTGTCCCAGCTGGAACCAAGACGTGGGATATTCCTCTTTTGCGAAGACACCTTGGATATTCCTCTTTTGCCTCAGCAGAATCTGGGAGGGTTTAATCTTTTGAATTTAAAACAAAAGCAAAATCTGTGTATGAAAGCTATGAGGTCTTGATTAAATATCTTGTTTTCCCTTACAGATACTGTACGAGAAACAACTTCAGCTCAACAAGCACTTTTGGTGGCTAAAAACATTGACTTATTTCCAACAAATCAAGAACGTTTTACTGAAGGAAATATAGATGTGTGGTGGATTGTTCATGATGGTGGTATGCTGATGTTGCTGCCTTTTCTCCTTCGACAGCACAAGGCAAGGACAACAGAAAATGGCTGGGATTTAATTTTCTAGCACTAAATGGTTCTAAACGTGTCTAATTAAACATTCCACCTTGTTCAAATTATGCATGGTAACAGCAATCACAGTATTACAAACTGTTATTTTGTATCTTTTTGGTAGGTTTGGAGAAAATGTAAAATGCGTATCTTCACCGTTGCTCAAATGGATGATAATAGCATTCAAATGAAGAAGGATCTTCAGATGTTCTTATACCACCTTAGACTAAATGCTCAAGTGGAAGTTGTTGAAATGGTTTGTTATCATATATTTTTAAGGTGCAACTGGGACTAAACTTGGGAAAACAGATTTAGCTTTTTTCAAATAAAGAGATATTAGCCCAAATATAGAAATTAAAAAATTGCAGTCCCACAAAAAACAAGAAGTTAAGCATCATTATCTTACCATATTACAATGCTGCTGTACGTGGTGGTGAGTTTAATGGGTTTGTCGAGTAGAGTTTGAGATGTTTTATGTGTTAATTCTTAATTTATTTATGACTACTAGTCCATAGAGCTGGTGCATTCAGAAGGAAAAGCTTGAATTTTTAGCAAGCAGTGAAATGGAAGGTTGAATGTGCTTAATCTAAGAAGCTAAGACATATGGTATGAGACAGGATGGACTTGTCTTTGTCTCCAACTGCTGTAAGAATACCTCTCTGGAATAAGGACTCCCTAGGCTCAAATGCAAGTTGTTCTTGGTATCTCCAGCCTCAGCCAGTACTGAAAGCAGGACCTACAGTTTCACAAGTCAAGGTAGTGACAGAATGAATTTTGTAACTTTTTTCCTTTTTTAAATATGGGTCATAAACTGTTTAGGAGAAAGGACAAAAGCTATACTCTGTCTTCGCCCACTTTTTTTGGAAACTAAGGATGTAATTTCCAGCACTAAAAGGTGACTAGCATAATGTCCAAATAAGACTCATGGGGAATAACAAAAACCCAACCAAAACTTTTAGTCATTCTGAAGTGAGATGAAGATGAGTAAACAGGTTGAAAACTTCTACTACCACTAGTTTCTAGAATCACCAGAACTTATTAAAAGGTTTATCATGCTAATTAATCATAAAACAATTTTAAGAATTGTTTTAATTACTTAGGGGAAAAAATTACTTGTGAAAAAATTTACTATTCTTTGCTTAGAGTACTAAATATGAAAGTCTCAAGTGGTGTGGCATGTACAGTTGAAAGAACACAGAGTGCCATGAAATGGCTCAGCCTTGGTTGAATTTTGACCAGAAGACAGTATAGAAAAGTTGTGCTTGTTTCAGCTGGGGCAGAGTTAATTTTCTTCATGACGGCTGGTATGGGGCTGTGTTTTGGATATGTGCTGAGCACAGGGCTGATAATATCAGGATGTTGTTATTGTGAAGCAGGGCTTACACAGAACCAAGATATTTTCTGTTTTTTGTACTGCCACGCCAGCAAGGAAGTTGGGGGAGTTTGGGAGGAGACAGGTGTCCCAAACTGACCTAAGAGCTATTCCAGACCATATGACATCATGCTCAGTATATAAGTTGGGGAGAAGAGGGAAGAATGGGGGAATGTTTGGAGTGATGCTGATTGTCTTCTCAAGTAACCGTTATGCATGATGAGGACCTGCCCATGGGAAGCAGTGAATTAATTCCTTGTTTTGCTTGCTTGTGTGCACAATTTTTGCTTTTCCTGTTAAATTGTCTTTATCTCAACCCATGTGTTCTCTAGCTTTTATCCTTCTGATTCTCTCCCAAATCCACTTGTGGGTGAGTTAAGAGTCTGCATGGGCCTTGGTTGCTGGCTGGGGTTAAACCACTACAGAAATACAATTTATTATTTTCTTCTGTGGGTAATATTTAATTCTGAGACTCTTCCAAAGGATAAGAGATATGTTACAAGTCAGTGACAATACAGGTGACTGCTATAGATTTTTACATTGTATTTTAATTTTCAGCCAATATGAGAATGTATGCCAGAATTTCTTGCTATGGCAAGAAATGGCTTTGTTTTTGAACATTTCTCACTGATGAAAGGATAATGTGTTATTTGTGCCTAACAGTTACAGTTTTTAAGGAAACAAGTGTCCGCACATGCTCCGGTGGCAGCAATGCGTACCCAGTTTAAATAAGTGCTTTCAACTCTCACTTCTGCAGCCTAGTTGGAACAGAATAGTGGAAAGTCTGTTCCAAGTACCTAAAATTTAAATAAAATCACAATAATATTGTTACAGTAGGATAGTTCACAGTATGAAATTGCTGTTTGAAGATTAGGTTTTAAGAATGAGGACAGAAGTGATTGATCAATTATTTGCTTAGTATTATTGTAATGCCATGACTACATCCACCAAATGAACACAGGTATGAGAGATACACTCTCTAAATGTTGTTCTTCTAAGTAGTACTTTTCTTCTGGTGTTACTAATGCCAATTTCTTTTGCAGTTTGAAAATGACATTTCTGCATTCACATATGAGAAGACACTTATGATGGAACAGCGATCTCAGATGCTAAAACAGATGCAGCTATCAAAGAATGAAAGAGAAAGGGAGGTAGGATCTTTGACTTGATAGGATGTGCCCTGAAAAATCTGAAAGTACGATCTTCTGGCTGTAGCTTCTAATCAGTTTCTAACTAGTCAAAAACTTTCATAACTGCACGGTGTTTCTCTACAACCAGTTTTACTTGCAAGGTTAAAGTTATGTGCGGAAAAAAAAAAATATTTAAACAGATTTTAATTGTTTTCCTGTTTTTGTTGAGTGCAAGTGTTGATTAGCAAAACATTTGAGCATCAGTGTGGAATACATTCAGAGCCTTTCCAAACTTGACATCAGTAGCTAAGATTCATGATTATGCAACTGGACTGATTATCTTTGATTGTGATTTGGTCTTCACAATCATAGAATCATTTACGTTAAGAAAGACCTTTACGTCAAGTCAGACCACTAACCTAACGCTGCCAAGTCCACCACTAAACCATGTCCCTAAGTGCCATATCTACATGATATTTAAATACCTCCAGGGACTCAACTTCAGCCACCTCCCTGAACAGCCCATTCAAATGCTTGATAACCCTGTCCATGAAGAAATTTTTCCTAATGTCCAATCTAAACATTCTCTGGTACTACTTAAGGCCATTTCCTCTTGTCACTTGTTAATGGGGAAAAGAGACCAATCCCCACCTCACTACAACTGTCTTTCAGGTAGTTGAATAGAGTGAGAAAGTCCTTCCTGAGCCTCCTTTTCTCCATGCTAGAGAACCCTACCTCCTTCAGCCACTCCTCATATGACTTACAAATACACCATATTACACAATATAATACAAATTTGTTCAAATCACACTGGCTGTGTTTTAGTTTCTGCATTATTTTGAATATTTTATGAATCAACTCTTTTTTTTTTTTTGGAACCAAAATTAGCCCAATAAACTAATCCTGGTTTTGCTGCTCCCCTATCCTTATTATTTTGCATATTGTACCAACAAGCTTCATTCAGCTGTATTTTTATGAATATTTGTAACTTACAAGTCCTTTCTTTTTGACTTGTGCTTCTACCCCTTCATCTATTCTGCTAACTCTTTCAGTATTATTGAGACTTTTTAGTGATGTAGTAAATAGTGAATGCGCTGGCTTTGCCATCACATAAATTATTTCCATCCCATAGCAAACAAGGGAATTCTACTGTGTTTAATTGCTCATTTGTATAACAGCTAGATTTTTTTTTCTTATGGCTTTTCTTTTGTGATGTTAATCATACAAGTCTGAGCAGTTTGGGGTTTTTATGTTTTTTTTTCCTTTTATTTGTCCTCTGTATTCATTTTCCATCTCACAGAATTTGTTAAGGTTCCTAAAGATGCCTGCTATTGTTCCAGTTTATTGCTGTAAAATGTTGTTCTTATCCATGTCATGGTAGTTTTCTTTCAAAGTGAGTCTGCCTAACATCCTTCCAGTAAAAACCCCAAACTTTCCTGTACAACTTATTCAGTCTTACTGTTTCTTTACTGAACAATAGTATTTTTCAATGGAGTTTGACTAATGTATCTGTTGTACACTTTGAAGGATTTAACTTCCACATGATTAGTAGAAGCTATTGCTCTGTATTCTACAGCACATAAATTAAGAGGATATGAAAGAATTTCTTCTCAGCTCTGAGCTGGTTGGAATCTGGACTGTACTTCAGAGTATTGTTTATTTGGAAGTTTTTATTTCTTTCTATTCCCTCCATATAATTTTCTTTCTTTATTACTCACTCTTACCTGAACTTTACCATCACCATTATAGCATCAGTTTCTTCATTCAAAACACCACTGAATTTATTTCAGGGTCTGAAGTAAAACCCTTGATAACTCCAGGAACCTCTAGTACATACTGCCTTGTCCAAAAATAAGTCATATTCATTTATTGTTTCTGATTAGGATATCTAAATCTACCTCGTTCTTTTGTATTTTCATAAGAAAATGTGGTTTATTGAAGTGACCACCAGAACCTGGGCTAACTCTTAGAACTTCGGTGCAATGCCAGGAGTGAGGAACTGCCTTGGTATGGGGATTTACCGGAGGCAGAACCTTTAGAGCCTCTTGCTCTGAAGTGCCAGACACAAGCCACAACAGGACCAGGCAGAGAAGAAAGGAGAAAGCTCTCCCTCTTGAGGTTCCACTAGGAAGAGTTTATTTCAGATGAAAAGAGCAGGACAAAAAGCCTCTAGCTCTATTGTGCAAGGGGCTTTCTTCAGATGCAAGTCAGGAGGTGGATAAAAATAGCAAACCAATAGGGAATCCTCAGGGGAGGAGTGAGGGGATTACATCCAGTGTCTGGGGCCATTTGGGGTAGGAGGGTGGAGAGGATGGGTCACTTGGGCCAATGGGGCTTCCAGGAGCAGGGGAATTCCAAAGGAGTGTTGCAGACAGGGATTGGCTCGAGGTTTAAGTGGCAGAGAAAGTTCAGGAATCAGGCAGGGAAAGAGCTGGAACAAGGGGCAGAAAAGGGTATGAGGGACAGCTTTGAGGGAGGGTAAAACCCAGGGGTAAACCCCCTTGGGGAGAACGTTGGGGTACAACAGAATGAACCACTTAACAAGGTATCTATAAAATAAATTCAAACCGCAACAGTTTATTTATGTCTTCACTTCCTCTGGAGCTACAAGATTGGTGTGTACACTCAAGAGTGCCTGGCCCATTCTTACACTGATCATCTTTTTTTAAATTAGCTGAGCCATTCTTTTCAATTTTTTACTGATGTCCAAAACATTTGTTTTATTAGTATCACTAGTTCAAATTAGCATTGTTTTTTGATTTGATATCTGTCTCCAGGCCTTCAAATATAACCTGGCATTCCAGTTTTGAATAGTGAGTGTAGTTTGGTTTCCTGTTACCACCAAGTTTAGTACTTCAACCTCACTTTTGTGCATGTATGCCTTCAAACGAGGCTCAGACCTTCCCAAAGTGGAGACTTTGGTTTTGTACAGTGTTTATTTGGTTTTATTTGGTTTATTTGTTTTAGTCATAAGCAAGCTTTTACCCCTGAGCAATCACCCTCATCCTCCCTTCTCCTGTCACTTCTTAAAAACAGAATTGATTTGATCTTGCCTCTGGGTTTTCTTGTAGAACTGGGGATCGAGCACTCACCAGATTTTTGTTTACTTTTTTTGACAACTTGGTCAATTTGGTTTTTTGTATTATAAATATAATATCTGCCTGCAAAGCATAACATAGGCAACTTAGGTATAACTGGTAAACATCTATTTATTTGACTTAGTCGATAGTGCTATAAAGGGGAAAGAAAATTTAGAGCCTCATTCCCTTTCTTGCTTCCATTTTTGGTGGTTGTTGGCTTCTTTCTCTCATTAATCCTCACTAAGGACTCTTGGGCAAGGCAGTGATAATGGGACCTGTGAGAAGATAATAATACTTTGCACCAACAAATTGTCTTGGGTTGTGCTCTTAGGTAAGATTGGCGGAAATTTGGGTACATGCAGGTGAGTGATGCACGGACAGATGACTCTTCAACTAATTAAAGTTGCAAAGAAGGGTGTTTATTGCAGCGTGCTGGACACATGTGGAATCGTTTCCAAATACATGTGCAAGGAGGTGCAGACTCCTGCTCTCTACTTTGATCTGCTGGTCATGGTCCAAGCCTCTCCTAACTTTTGATTATTCTTAAGGCAAGGTATTTCTATGGTCTCTTCTCCTTCACAATTGCTGCATCTATCCCTGTCACTCCTAATGTATTTGTTAATTCTCTTTCCTAATGTATTTGTTACTTTTTAACTAAGGTACTCTATTCTTGCCACCTATATTACTAATTTAGCTTCTTAACTAATTTTAAAATCTTAACTAAAATATGCAATCTTCTACTATCCCAAATATATTCCCAGCCAGCCCCTCAACTCATCTACAGTGTTTAATTATCCTAAATACATTTCCAGCTGACCCCTTGACTCATGAGGAGCACAATTATAGTTTGTGAATGATTAGGTTTTTAGGCTTTTACAGTTGAAAAGTAGCTTTCTCACATGCTTAAATTTTTTAAATGCTTTTAATTGTAATTGAGTGAAAAATTTCACCTGAATATATATGTATATGAAAGGATGTGACCCGCAAAAACAAGTGAATATTTGAGCTTTCCATAGATACTGAAGGATTCAATTTTCCCATAGATACTGAAGGCTTCTTGTTTTCACAAATGTCTGTAAAGGGACTTCATAACTAACTACTAAACATTTAAAAATGGTCCCCGCGTTATTCAGGAGGAGGCAATCAGAGAACTGTTGAGCTGCTTGGATATTCATAAATCCATGGGACCAGATGGGATCCATCCCAGGGTGATGAGGGAGCTGGCAGATGAGCTTGCAAAGCTGCTCTCCATCATTTACCAGTAGTCCTGGCTCACTGGCAAGGTTCCAGATGACTGGAAGCTGACCAATGTGATGGCCATTCATAAAAAGGGTGGGAAGGAGGATCCTGTTAATTATAGGCTGGTTAGCCTGACCTCAGTACCTGGTAAGGTTATAGAACACTGAGTTTATACTGAGTCTCATGACACAGAACTTATGGAATGGCCAGGGTATCAGACCCAGCCAGCATGGGTTTAGGAGGGGTAGGTCATGCTTGACCAACCTGATCTCCTTCTATGACCAAGTGACCCACCTGGTGGATGCAGGAAAAGCTGTTGATGTTGTGTACCTGAATTTCAGCAAGGCCTTTGACACTGTCTCCCACAGCATACTCCTGCAAAAGCTGGCAGCCCATGGGCTTGGACAGCAGCCCTCTTTGCTGGGTTAAGAACTGGCTGGATGGCCGGACCCAGAGAGTGGTGGTGAAAGGTGCTGCATCCAGCTGGTGGCCAGTTACCAGTGGTGTCCCTCAGGGGTCTGTGCTGGGACCAGTTCTGTTCAATATCTTGATTGGTGACATGGATGAGGGGATAGAGTTTCTCATTAGTAAATTTGTGGACGACACTAAGCTGGGAGCATGTGTTGATCTGTTGGAAGGTAGGAGGGCTCTGCAGAGAGACTTGAATGGTTGAATGGATGGGCAAAGCCCAATAGGATGAAGTTTATTAAATCCAAGTGCTGAGTCCTGCATTTTGGCCCCTGTAAATAACTCCCTGCAATGTTACAGGCTGGGGATGGTGTGGCTGGACAGTGCTCAGGTGGAAAAGGACCTGGGGTACTGGTCAACAGCCAGCTGAACGTGAGCCAGCAGTGTGCTCTGGCAGCCAAGAAGGCCAATGGCATCCTGGCCTGTATCAGGAATAGTGTGGCCGGCAGGACCAGGGAGGTAATTTTTCCCCTGTATTTGGCACTGGTGAGGCTGCATCTTGAGTACTGCGTCCAGTTCTGGGCCCCTCAGTTTAGGAAGGTCATTGAGATGCTTGAGTGCATCCAGAGAAGGGCAGCTAGGTAGGGGAGGGGCTTGGAACATGAGCCCTGTGAGGAGCAGCTGAGGGAGCTGGGGTTGTTTAGCCTGGAGAAAAGGAGATTCAGGAGTGAGTGACCTTATCACTCTCAACTTCCTGAAAGGTGGTTGTATTCAAGTGGGTAACTTTCTCCAGGCAGCAACTGACAGGATGAGAGGACACAGTCTCAAGCTGCATCAAGGGAAATAGAGATTGGATATTAGGAAAAAGCTTTTCACTGAAAGAGTGATAAAATTCTGGAATGGTCTGCCCGAGAAGGTGGTGGAGTCACCATCCCTGGATGTGTTTAAAAAAAGGCTGGATATGGCACTTGATACCATGGTTTAGTTGAGATGTTAGGGCATGGTCAGTTATCTTGAAGGCCTCTTCCAACCTAGTCATTCTGTGAATTCTGTGAAAAAGGGCTTTATGAGCTTTTTTCCTGCAGACTTTTTTTTTTTTTTGTCATTGATAACATTTTTGTCTCAGATTCAGAGCATCACAAATGAGTCTCGAGGCTCAATTAGAAGAAAAAGCTACTCCAGTCCATTGTCCATTGTCCAAGATGCTCAGGCACTGCTGACTAATGATTATCAAGAGGAAGAGGTAGCTGGACATAGTGCTGACTATGACTAGACATATTTTCCATTGCAACACTTCAAGTACCACTGTTGCAAACTGAACTACACATTAATTACAATTTTTTCTAAAGTAATTATTTTACCCTGTATTTCATGTCTTTAGATTATGCCTCTGTGACATGAACTATATTCTCTTTCTCACGCTTATTTTCTGTAAAAGAGACACATTTCTGAGACTGCTTGTTTTCTTAAGAGCCAGAAACAGGGTGTTACATTAATAAACATATTTCATGCCTTCACAAAGCATTTACTTCCTTTATAGTTCCTCTATTGAAGTATTGAAGATTCTTGGAGACTGTATTGATATGCTAGATCTTTTAAGGAGCACAAGCCATTTTTATTTGCAGGCTATTATTAACCCATATATGTCATTACTGAATTCTGTGGGGTGACATTGAAAGGAAATGGACTGATGTAATCAATGAGTTTAGTGTGCACTTGAAGTGTTGCTCATATGTAAAATGTGTAGCCTAGTTTGTAGAAGTGCTGCATACCTTTTATTTCCCTTTAATCATAGAGTGAGAGAACAACCTGTTTTGTTTCATTAATTGAATTTAGTATCAAAATAGCACTAACAAAAATGTTCTTTTGGTGTGATTGCATTTTTATAAATATGTATTATAGGTCCAGAATTTCTCTTGGTCTCACTGTCTTTCTAAAAATGGCAAATTTTCTTCCATTGAAGCATAGTTGTACTGAACTCATCCTACAGTTGTTCCTTTGAAATTTTAGTACATTGGATACTGCTGCATGGTATTTACAATATTGGCATGTATTTGTTTGCTTTTTTGATTCTTTTGATAGAACTGTATTCACAGTAACTTCTGATTTGTGGTCGTGACTCATCATTTAATCATCTGTGAATGCAGGAAGACCGTCATACTAAGAGATATTTATGCAAACCTCACAACTGAATTCCAGAATTTGGGAATCCTGAAGAATAGGGGCTAGGAAATAATTTAGGGAATATACCGAAGCTCAAAGGCATTTAAAACCACCTGCAATTACAGTTTTTGAGCCACTAGAGGAATTGCTTTTCTGAGAACAAAAGTAGAATTCTCATCTGCTTGGATTCTGTTCATGGTTTTTATTGACCTGCATGAAGTTCTTAATTACTGGGTATGTGGAGGGACCATGACTATGTCTGACATGTGAATAATTGAAGTTCCCAAATGGAACAGGAGCTTCAACTCATGATTTAACAAGTCTCTGAATAGATTTCAGAACTGTTAAATATCTTAAACAAAAAGCAAACAAACAATCACAGGATAAAAGAAATGCCACCTCCAAAATAGAAAATTTCAAAGCACAAAAGGAATCCTGCCCCCAATTACCAATTAACTTATAATTTTTAGGGTGTAAGGTACTGTATTTGTGTTGTATTTGATGGAAATAGAGAAGCCTATGGACAAAGTATTATGAAAGAAAATAAGTAAATAATGTGTTAAATATTTAGTCTTCTTTTCCTCCAAAGAAGCAAGGAGAATGGAAAATAGAAAACACAATATTCTTCCCACATGCATATGCGCTTTTTTGTTCTTGAAGTTGATTAGAGTTTCTACTGTTAAAAGGGAAGAGAAGACCCCGTCATGGCAACATTGGTTAGATTTGTTATGTGATATGCTCTTGTAGGCATAAATAATCTAAATCTATAACTAGACTTCAAATCAGCCAGTCCCATACTAGTATCAGAGATTCATGTTGTAGTTCAGATAAAGGCATGTGAAATGGACAAGTTTACAACAGCATCTGAGAAAATAATGTAACTTGTGAACAATGAGAATACTGGCTTTAAAATTTTTCATTGGCAAGACACCCTGTTAATAAAGTACTCTCTGGTGGAATTCAACCTCACTTTAGTTCATTACAAAAGTAACATTCCACGCAAGATATAGTCTTGCAAATGTAAACAAATATGAACATTTTTACAAGCAATTTCACTTCATGCTGAAGTCATAATAGTAGTCTCATATTTGTTCACAAAGTAAAGGTGCATTTTTCTTCAGCTTCTTTGGTTCTACCACTGTGAAACTCCTTTTCAAAATTGTAATAGCATGTAATTTACAAATGCTGGTTTTGGCTGAATTTTGGGGTGATTATTTGTTTTGTGGCCAGGCTCAGCTGATCCATGATAAAAACACTGCCTCACGCTCTGCTCCAGCAGTTGAAGCAAGCGTGGCTGCTGCTGTGCCAGAGAAAGTGCAAATGACCTGGACTAAAGAAAAGTTTGTAGCGGAAAAGCATAAAAACAAGGATTCCAATGTGTCTGGATTTAAAGATATTTTCAACATGAAGCCGTGAGTATGCATGTGGTATTTGGAGGTTTTTATTTCATTGTGTGTATTTTAATTGGGGGTGGGGGGATGGTGTTCTAGTTTGTTGTTTTATCTGGGTTTTGCTTTTTAAGAGATTCTGCTTTATTTAAAATTGGATAAAAAAATGAGCTTTTCATGCACTTACCTTAAATGGCATCCTTATAAAAACAGCATAGACTTGGGTGGAATGACTTAAAGAGTCATTCACATTCATTGTGAGTGAAGTTTAAATATGACAGACTTTAAGCTGTTAACTCAACTTCTAGATTGTACCAGAAAGCATATGTGTTAAAAAGCTTAATGATAACTTTTTATTTCTTGCTGTGGGTAAAAAATTAGTGTATATGTCCCCCTATTTTTATTGTGTTTGGTATTGGAGGGAGTTCCAAAGAAGCAGATAGTCTTTCAAGACATTTAGCTTATGTTTTTGATTTTAGGTGCAAGATTTTGGGTGTGGGGGGTGTTTTCTTGGGAAGAGAGGGGCGTGGGGTGTTCTTGTTTGTTTGTTTGTTTTAATGGACATTCAGCCCTCATCCTGTAAATTAAAGAAATATAAAACTTGTGTAAATATATATGTATTTCTATATTAATAATTTCCTGTTTAAATATTCCTTAATGTCTTTTTCTTAAATAGGTAAGAGCTACTCCCTGTGTCAAACCAATGTAGTAGACACAAAAACAATGACAGAGGGAAATCAGCTTGTTGTTTCCTCATGTTGTGATTTTAAGCATGCACATGCATATTTTCTTAGTTCTGCAAGAAGACTGCACTTAGAAGCATAGTTTAAATTATTTTCTGCATATGACCAAACCAAAACTGTGGATGTCAAGGGAAATTATTGTGCTCATGCTCTAAAGCATTGTCCTAGGCCGCATTATACTCTTAATTATTAGGGGTTTTTTAAATTTTTATCTTTGAAACTTTTCTTTTTACTACTTTAGAATTGTGCAAAACACTGATTTCAGATTTTATTATTTTAAGACTGCTATGTATAGTTGGGTAGAAATTACAGTTCAAACTTGGTGTGCCTGTACAGTATATTAATATTATTGACTTTAAAATGTACCTGATGGCATAATATTTTTTTTCTATGCATTTGCTTTCCTTCCACATAGAGAATGGGAAAATCTGTAAGTGTAAATTTCACTTCACCTAAACAACATAGGCTGGGTTCTCTGGTTCTTGTGATCTTGTACATTATATGCATGCTTCTAAATTGTAATTTGCAATGCATGTATTTTTTTGTTCCTTGTTTAATATACTGTGATTTAGCATGCCACTGAAAAAATATCATTGTGACTTTTTAATGTTCTCTTAAATATGGTCAACTTTCTATTCAAGGTAAGTCACAAAACATGTGTTATAGTTTCTGTAAGAATATAAAACTTGACAGTACTTCTCTGCACCAGCATAATATTTAGTGTTCTAATTAACTACATTAAAAAATGTGGGGTTTTTTTTGGGTTTTTTTTTTTTTTTGTTTTTTTTTTTTTTTTTTTTTTTTTTTTTTTCCTGGAAGAACAGTCTCCCATTGTGCTATAACTACTTAGACAATAGGGAATATTTGTTCACAAAGGGAACTTTCATGATTCATCAAAAGTCAGTTCTTGCCTGCCTTCTACCAGCCCATGCATATGTAGAAATAACATAAGTTCAGACATACATTGGGTATGACAGCACACAAAAATGGAATACTACATCTCTTGAGTGGAACTCACTCGCCTGCTCTGCTTTTTTTCAGAGTTCAGCATTTTCTTAATTTTATCTGCTCAACAAATTGAGCTTCTTATAAAATGCTGGAAGTTTAGTTTGTCTATTGTGTATGATTTCAGTTCTACCAGTGCTTGAAGGATAAGTGATGTTAGCCTTAGTTCACATTTTACACACCATAAGCCTTCATTTCAGTGCTGATTTTTTACCCACTCTGTCACAAAGTTACACCCTGCCTTTTATTTTTAGTTTAACAATGTTTCAGTTTCAATAGTTATGCATCTCAGTTATACAATCTTGCCTCTCTTCATAGTTCTTTTTAGTCTTCTCAAAATGCAGTTCTGCTTCCAAAAAATGGAACTTCAAGCTTTCCTTCGTTCCATATATAGATTTTGTACAGTTTGTTCTTAGGATAGCTAGCCACTGTGATAGAAAATCCTCCAGGAGGGACGGATAAACTCAGTTTTAGAAATATCATTCTCTTATAGCGGGGAAGATGGGAGGTGGCAGAGCATGAAGAATCAATTTAATTGACAGGGCTGGTTTCCCTGGCCAATAAATTTCAGGCCAAATTACTTTTAACTATTTATTTGGGAAAAAAACAAATGCAAAAACAACCCCTACTTTTAGGCAGCAGATATTTCAGATGAATGGGCTAAGGTAGAGTTTGAATATTTTTTGTCACACTGTAGCATATGATTCATTTCCAGCCTTGGCTAACTCTACACACAGCTGTTTCTCAGGAACTGTAAGGAAACTGTTCTTTTGTTCTGAAAAACCACTGAACCATACAAAAGAGATACTAAAATAAGGACATTTTAAAAACCCTAGCAGTTTTTTCTTCTTGTGCACAGATCTACAACAATTGTATTTGTAGGTGAAACAGGGAAAATACTAGGTAATGTTGATAATGTAAAGGAATAAGCTCAATTTCAGTTCACTGCTTACTGCCATACTGTTACAACATAAGAAGTTAGCATTTTTTTCAAAATTCTGTGGTGTTTCTGAATTTTCTTCACCAGCTGGTAGAATTTTGTAATGTTTCCAAAGGAACATGAGTAAAATCTTCTACTGTACAACACAAATTTTGTGATCTTTCCGTTGCATTCCTGTAATTTCATTGTTTGGAAATTCTTGTGTAAATCCAGTTATTTTTTTATGTAAGTCAATAAACAAGATTCTTAGTGGTTCTTGTCTGACCTGTAATAACTATTGAAACCAAGTTTGTGATTAATTTTGATAAAAGATATTTGACAACTGGAAGATTTGTGCATTTTGACAATTTACTTAGAACTGCTTGAATTTCAGAGTTAAATGTTCTTGTCAAAGGTGTTGCATTTTATTTATTTTGAATATGTACATATACTAGTATCCATGAAAATAGCTTGTTTTACATACTTATAATTTCAAATAAATATTGTATGATTCAATTATGTAAGTGTTATAACAATGCTTAAAAATGTTTCTTTGCATGCTAGGAATCAGTCAAATGTGAGAAGAATGCACACTGCTGTGAAGCTCAATGGAGTAGTGCTTAATAAATCACAGCATGCTCAGCTAGTTCTCTTGAATATGCCTGGACCTCCTAAAAACAGAAAAGGGGATGAAAACTGTATCCTCTACTGTATTGATTCCATATTTCTTGAAACTGAGAATTCACTTTTGTGATTCTGTCATTACCTGTTGGGATAACCATTACTAAGTATGGTAAGCATAAGTCTGCCTATAAGAAAATTACATAAAGACAGTTAAAAAATAAAAGATAAAAAATCTTGGTTGGAGGGGTGGTTTATTGATATAAAGGATTTCCTTGACTTTGAAATAATTTCAAAATTTCCTAGTCTTATCTTTTTTTGTAGGTGAGTAGGGCAAAACTAGGAATTTCCCCCAAGTTAGGCTTTACTTCCACTTGAATAACCGGGTAACAGGAGAGTAAAGGGTGACACAGAAAAACTCTTTGATGAAATTGTTGAACTTTATTTTTGAATTATATGTCAGAGTTTTTGAGAGATTACTATATATTTTGTTTCTCTTCTGAGTAAATTCCTTGACCAAATGATATTTCAGACATGGAATTTCTGGAAGTTCTGACAGAAGGTCTAGATAGAGTTCTCCTAGTCCGAGGCAGTGGACGTGAAGTGATCACCATTTATTCTTAATCTGTTTGCATGTGTTTTTCAAACACAACACACCCCCACCATAAGAAAGCAGTTTTTTGCCATAATTTGAGCAACTTCATTGTCTTCTAGTGCATTGAAAATTAGTTCAAGCTGAATCTTCTGATCATGTGTTCTTTTTTTCCTAGTAAGATGTTCTATTTAAATAATATTTTAAGCAGATTTATGTGGAAAATTAATAATTGGTGAATTAATAAATGGTGGATGGCTTAGGATATTTATATGTAGCATATTCTGACACTTCTTAAGCTGTGGTAAAACAAAAAAAAATTGGTAATGCAGTCATATTTTTAAAGATATAGAAATGTCAGCAACTTTTGATTATTTTAATCTTTGCTCTGCATCTAAATAAAAGGCAAGGGGTTTAGAAAAGGTTGTCTTTTTTCCTTACCAAAATGCTGCTATGTTGCTTCTTTTGGAATTAGTCGTGGTTCAGGAACCTTCCTTCAGAGATGTATACAGCCAGTGAAATTTGTTCATGAAGTACATTAAGTGTTTCCCAGAAGTTTATTTGCCATACCTGTTAAAAATAACATTTCCGTATTTAAAATACTTAGGTAGCTGAAACCTCCAGATGATAGTAAATAGTGAGTTCTTTTCTGTGAGGTACTGGCAGTTACTGTTATATTTTGCATGATTGTAGCAATAATGAAACATGAGTGCATCCAACTTATAGGAAGGCTATGGTGCAGGAACTCCCCCTGATTCCAAATATAATTCAATAGTTGATAAACCACAACAAGGTGGTTAATGAAATGCAGTCTCTTGTTTTCAGATATTTGTATTTTGAAAATATTGTATGCATGTGCTGCTGTTTGAAATAAAATCTGCTTTTCTGAACTGAACAAGCTCCTAAATGTTTTTAATTTGAAATTATTGAGTTTAGTTTAGGTGCTCAATAGAAACCTTTTGCTCCTGTTACAATTCTGTTCCTTTTTCGGCAGTCTTTAGTTTTGTAAGTGTTAAGACCTAAAGTGTATCAAAAGATTGTTCTGCTCTAAAAAGAACAGGTCTGTTTAAACATATAAACCACTATTTTATTTTTTCTTGTTCTTATTCTTATATACAATCAAGATGTCTGTTGCTCAGACTAGAACAAGAGTGATGCAGTGCCCAAGTACCTGGCTAGGCTCAAGGCCGGTGTTTTTATCGTAACACTCAGGTGAAGTAAGACAAAGCCATAAACAGCAAAAGCTGAAAGTAGCCATTACCTGACCTGTCCCTGTAGTTTGATGCACAGGAACAGAGGGAATAAAAAGGTAATCAGGTGGCCCAGTGAACTCCAGATGAGTCAAAAGCACTGCTGGGATACTTCAAAAGGGAATTGGAAAGGCATGCTGCACACCGCTCACTCTGACTGCAGCGTATGCCTTTGGTTAGGAATAGGTTTATGCATAGGCACTCAGAGGTACCTTGGGGGCACACCAGACACTCCACAGGCTCTTAGGTAAAATGAAAGGCACATGGAGGTCCTGTGGACAAATCAGGAGGCATGTGAAGGTTTTAGATTTGCACAGTATATCAATTGAATTAAAAAACATTCTCAAGCCAGTGAGGAGAAAAAACCATCAGCAGATGGTCCTACTGCACTCCAGATGGCTCTAAGCTTTTCATGGGACATATTAAAAGGCACTCCTTGGGCTACAGTGCGGGGCCATCAGCAGGCATTTATAGAACTGATATGTGTGGTTTTGGGTTGGAGACAGACACACGATACAACACCACTGGGTCATCAGCAAACCACAATGAGTTTAATATGTCTGCCCCTTTTATAGGGGCTTTGGATTCCCCAGGCTCAGATAGTTGATTGGATGACCTCTCTCTGCCCAGCTGGTGTATCAGCTTCTAAGTTAGATCAGGGTTGGCTGAGGTCTTTGTTTGGGTTTGAATCCAACCTATCTGTGCCTTATCCAGGGACTTGTTTTCTTCTAGGTTGGTTGAGTTTAGGGGGCAGCTTCAGATCAGCTGCAATGCAACGACAGACAACTGCAGAGAGCTCGTAGTAAAAGGAATTATAAAAATTTAGTTTAGAGATAGGCTTTCAGAGGCATCTGGGACCTACCAAAAGTTCTAGGAGTTCCCTTAGATGCAAGGCAAGACTGACAGGTTTCTGTGTGCATACCAGAAGGCATTTGATAAGTTTGTGGAAGTGGTAGAGAACAAACCTTCAAACTGGAAAGTACAAAACATGAACTTAAACAGGAAGTTTTGAAGATCCAACTTCAGAAGAAGATAGGCTTCTGAGACCCTGATATGGGCTTGTGTGTTACAGGGACCACCCGTGCTGTGATGGAGGAGGACGTACAAACACATACATGCCAGCTTCATTTTTCTGAGATTTGCTTGTAGGCGCACAGTATTAAGAATTACGGGCTATGGGTTATCAAAAACTATGATTTAGAGAGGTAGATAGGTGGGATAGTCACATGCAAGACTAGTCAGGGCAAAATGCCATTGAGGCCCTTTTTCTGGTAATAGTTTGTTATATTTCCTAATGATCTCATAAGAGCGAGCTACAGGACAATTTTGCACCTATTCTCACCAGAAAATCTGTCTCCTGCAACCTCTAAATATGTCAAGAAGTGAGGTAAGAATCCTTTAACTTATGGCAGTAAACATAGGTCATGGATAGTATCAGCGATGATGAGAGAGACAGGGAGACTATGAGATGATCAAAAGAATCCAAATTTATTGTGGACTACATTGCTTATATACTATTTTAGGAAGACTAGTAATGTTTTAGTACAATGGGTTAATCGTCACATAAACAAGTACATTTTACAACATCTCTTGCTTGCAGAAGTCTTGATGTCATTTTCTTTTCTGATAAGTGAGTCTGATTTAATCTTATTGCCACCTTCAAAGCTGTTTTTTCTTGCCAAGGCATCTTGATTATCAAATCTCTTATGCTAACCAGGTCCAAAGTCCATCATCTGTCTTATGTGTCCAATATCTCCATCTTCTGTTTCAACCAAAACCACTCCTTTAATGGCCTTATTAATTTATCTCTGCATACATTGAAATAAGCAAGGTATCATGATTAACACAAAAATCATCACATGCCCATCTTAAAAAGAATCTTTTAGCTAAAAACCTTAGCCATAAAGGCTCAGGCTTGATCTTCAAAAATATTCCTGTTGACAGCTGCAGGGTGAGCATTACTGGATTTAGAAAGTCTGCCAGAAGTATAATTGCACCAAAAGGTTTGATTCTTACATACAAGGTGATAGGGAGAAATATCCCAAGCTTTAGAATTATTTCTTCCTGTGTATTTAAAATTAACACAAAAATCCAATTTCACAGAACCCAGGGGCTCTAATTATTTGGGTTCTGAGGGTGTTTCAGGAGGGTAAGGGGTCAAATTTGATTTGATTTGATTTGATTTCCAAATTTTTAGTGTAAATATTAGTGTAAAGTTCTGGAGGAGCTATATTCCCCCCTAATTCTTTTGGTTTTTAATAACATGTGTTTCTCGTTATGAACATTGTTATAGGTAAAAATCAATACAGCCAATTTAATAAAAATAAAAATAAGATTTATTTGCGACTGTTGTCGCAACAGCCAACAATCAAGGACAGCACTGACCCCGGGATTGGAGCTGGCTGAACAGATTTGGCCTCTACCACACCGAATCCTCCACAGTTCACAACTGTGGTCTGGTACAGTCTATTTTTATACTGTTTTTCTGGCCTGAGACAGGGTCTCCTCTTGTTCTTTTCATAGTAAATCATATTCATGCTGCCTCCTTTCTTTGAGCTGAACCAAATAATACAGTTCCTGTCCACCGATGAACGCAGGTTGGGCATATTCATGTGGACTCCTTTCTTTGAGCTGAACTGAAGAATTCAGTTCCTGTCGACCAATGAACACAGGTCGGGCATATGTATGTTGTTCCTTCCTTTGGGTAGTCTTGTACAATACAATTCCGGGCAGACAGCAATAGCCGCATTTGGAGGCAATTCTCTCGATGGTCCTCACTATCTTGATCGTGCGGCCGGGAAATTAGCATA